GGATAATGTCGCCGTAAAGATAGACCGACCCCACGCTGGTGCTGATTGATGGAGAAACTCCGGCGTCTGGTCCGCATTGGCGCGGGGTGTCCTTTATACCTATGAGGGGCAGCTATTCTCCGACGTGTCTGAATCCTAATCCTTTCTACTCTTTCGCACACATTCTTCCTTTATCGTTCTTGTCTCATTTACCTACAATATCAAAGAACAATATAGCGTTCCCTCGCTCCTGTCGTCACTTCAAAAGAATTATCATGGCTGTATACGAAACTCGCTTCAAGCTCAATACCGGCGCGGAGATCCCCGCCTTGGGTCTGGGTATGTTGTTCCCCCTCGGTCGTCCGCAGTGAACAGGCCAGCTTATTCAAGACAGGAACATGGCAATCGAAGCCTGGAGAGGTCGAGAGGGCCGTCAGCCATGCTATCTCGGTGGGATACAGGCACATCGACACTGCCTACTGCTACCAGAACGAGACAGAGGTCGGCAATGGTATCAAGGAGGCGCTGCAATCTGGAAAGGTCAAGCGTGAGGATTTGTTTGTCACCACCAAGCTGTGGTGCACATACCATACACGAGTAGAAGAGGCTCTGGACAAGAGCTTGAAGAACCTGGGCTTGGACTACGTAGACCTCTACCTGATGCACTGGCCCTTGGCCATGAACCCTGAGGGTAAGCATGTTTCAGCTCTTTGCAAACCACAGAAATCTAACTAGTTGAAAGGAAACCATGAGCTGTTCCCCAAGCACCCCGATGGCTCCCGGGACATTGTCCACTCCCACTCCCACGTCACCACCTGGAAGAGCATGGAGAAGCTCCTGGCTACCGGCAAAACCAAGGCTATTGGTGTCTCCAACTACAGCAAGAGGTACCTCGAGCAGCTACTGCCCGAGGCGACTGTTGTTCCGGCCGTCAACCAGATCGAGAACCACCCATCTCTTCCTCAGCAGGAGATTGTAGATTTCTGCAAGGAGAAGGGGATCCACATCACCGCATACAGCCCTCTGGGAAGCACAGGAAGCCCCTTGTTCACCGCAGAGCCTATTGTCGCGGTTGCGAAGAAGAGAGGAGTCAGCCCGGCCAGCGTTCTCCTCAGCTGGCATAGTACGTTCCCATTGCCAATTCAATTTCGCTTTTCGCGTGCAACTCACTAACAATCTGCTGCAATAGTCGCCCGTGGATCATCCGTTCTCGCCAAGTCCGTCACACCTTCTCGTATTGAGGAGAACCGCACCAGCTTGATCAAGCTCGACGATGAGGATATGGCTACCATTGCCAAGTACACAGACGAACTCGCCGAGAAGAAGGCCTTCCAGCGGTTCGTCTATCCTCCTTTCGGTGTTGATTTTGGCTTCCCGGATAAGTCGTAAGCGGCTTTCTTCCTATCGCCTCCCTGGACTGAGCGACGCGGTTGTACTGTCGACAAAGATTGTATATAATGAATAAACAGCGGTCTTTGCTTGTCTAGAATCTAGCATTGTATAGAAAGAAGGTTGTACTGTCGTACAAAGAAGAAGGTTTAGATTTATGAATAAGGACTCCAGTACTCAAGACATCTTGCCAAAAGAAGATGTTCAAAAACCAACAGATACTCCTTCACAACAGCAAATGCAAAAGACAAGCTATGGCACATGTCAATCAGATATTAACCAAGAAGCAGAAATGATAACTCACCGCCTCCATCAGTCAATCTTTCTGCATTCTCCTATAACTCACCCGCTGTCAACATGTTAACAGGGCTTCCAACTCACGCCAGTTACTTCATTTTAGATCATGAAATGTAGAAATCAAACACTGGCTCCGTGATAGATGGGAACGTAAGAAGATCTACTCCTTCGCCTTTTTGATCACTCTGTGCTTGACAACCACCTCCCCACCAGCCAACCCAAACCATTCCCTTTCCAAAGAAATCTCCAAAGACGCGGTAGACGAGTCCTCCTCCGTCTCCGAGAAAACATTTCTCGACGTAAAGAACTCCCGAAACCCCAGCTCGATTATCTCCGCTGGGATCTCCTGCTCCCTGCTCTGGGCGCGCAGCCGAGCAAACGCACGCAGGGCCTGAACTCGTCGTTGCTCCCGCTCTAGCAAGATCGCCTGGGCCAGCGTACTCGACAAGATACCGCGTGCGTTCATCTTGACAAAAGCCTCCTTCAAGTGCTTGAAGGGCAGGCAGACGAGGACGGCTGACGTGGTCACGATCTCTGGGCTTTGCTTCTGTTCCTCGAGAGCCGCGAACGAACCGAACTTGACCTCTGCCAGTTTCGGGTTGGGGAGAGAAGGTGTCGGAGAGGAGTGTAGGTATTCGGGAATCCGGTCGGGCATGCCTTTGCAGTGGGCCTGAGGGAATAATGTAAAGTCGGCTTCCATGCGGTTGACGACAAAGTCCAGCGCGGCGGTTAGCAAATGCGCAGCCCATCTGGTCTGGAGTTCGTCATTGGCGTCGTTGAGCCTGTTTGGTGGTCCCTGGTTATCGGTGGCTGGCTGATCGGCTGGAGATTTTTCAGGCTCTGCGATCTGAGGCGCCGTGATGAGAAACTTGGATATGCAGAAGCCAAAGTAGAAGATCAGTTCGATGTTGTCCCAATTGATGACTTCCGCAATCAGCTTGATACCCGTTTCGACAATGTCCCGCCGCTGAAGGAAAGCCCCGGAGCTGGCGTAGCACATGGCAAAATCCGCCAGTGCCGTGTTGATCGGATATGGAGACGACTTGATACTCTCTTCGGTGTATCCCAGACTGAAGAGTGTCATGGATCTGAGCCGTTTCTGGTTCAAGAGGGCCAACCCGTATAAACTCTGAAGCGCAATCCCAAACGCCTTGACCAACAGGAAGTTCTCTCCGGCCATGGCTACTATTTCGGGTATATCCTGTTTGGCTGCAGGTGACTTCAAAATCGAGGCGAGAAGAGGACTACGGGCGATCAACACCTTGTGTGTGCGGATGGTGATCGGTGGGAAGTTGTCTTTGCCAGACTTCAATAGGATCCGGCAGTCGTGAAATTCCTCGCTGTCATAGAGGCGAAGGACGTACGCCGTGAGAGGTCCGTCGTCATACGCCGTAGCGGCTTCAGGATGTTTCTTTGCGACTAGTTGCGGGACACGATCAGCTTCCAGGCTATGCCATTCTGACTCACTCGACAAGACTCACCTCCATCTTCAGCGACATCCTTAGAGCTCGTTCCGTTATCCTTCAACGGCCAGTTCTTAGATACGTGATTTGGGTCCGCTGAAACCACCTCCCCGTTCTTAGAGACAGGGTGCGGCGCATACGATGGCAAATCATGGCCTATCAAGCTGTACACTCCATTAACATATCCGCTCCGCGGGGTGTACACGCAGGTACAACAATCTCCAGCGTGATGGACACAGCAGCACGAGGGCCGACGCGGGCAGTCGCAATCGGCCTGGGCCTTGTGAACACAGCATGCGGGATCGAATCGGCAGGTTGCGGTTCCATGAACCTGGCAATACGGCAGCTTCTTGGGGGCCGAGGAGGAGTGGCTTACGTCCCCGTGGATGCCATTCTGCACACTCGAAGCGCGGATTGTCTCTTCAGTGGTTGCCGCAATGGAAGGGGAATGCAAAGGCGCAGCGGAGGTTTGTGTGACAAACGAGGTGTCATGGTAGGAGTGCGAAGCGGGATGATTAACACCGTAGGCATCTAGGAGCGAATGATCAGGACCTTCCTTTTCCACAGAATGACATCGAAAACTCTCACTCACATTGACTCTGAGCCTGGCTATGTTTCTTCCCCCAGGATGCTCCATCTACAATCAGTGGGAGGCGCAGCGTATCCACAGAAGATGGAGCGCGCGACTGGGCAGCATCAGCATCGTCAGCCGTACTCTTGTACGACGGAGGGGACTCGCTGCAACTCAGCGCGTTAGAGTCACCCTGTGACGACTGCTTCTTCTTATTCTGTTTCTTCTTCTTCTTCTTGTGAGCGTTCTTCTTGGCTCTGCGGTTCTCTGCGTATCCGTCTAACTGCGGGAGCACCATCGATGCCATGAGGGGAACTGAGCAGCAGTTTCTGCACAGGGCAGATCTGCAGTTGGGATCGCGATAGTCGAACGAAGGCTCGCTAGCGGATCCGGAGGCCTGAGGACAAGACGGCAAATCAGTAATGCAGATGGAGTAGCGCCTAAGCATAGCCTTCTTCCACTCTGTTTCCTTTATCTGTTGGAAGGCAGTCAGGAAAGGAAGATGGAAGATGTGTTTGGGCTTAGAGGTGTACTTCCTATGAATGAAGTGGAAATATGAATATGGAAAATTTATGTGAAATGTGGAAAGGATGAAGAGAGTGTAATGTGCTGATGTATGAAGAGATCTCTCGGTCTGTTACTGCTTGGTCGCTATAGCGATGTCATCTGGTCTGGGACTTGGACTGAGCTTCACTGACAATGCAGTCAAAAGGCAACCCATCTAACACTACACAATATGTTTCAAATCCATCTTGTATCTCTCATGTGCGAAGGATATGTCCTATCACTACTCTTCTCATTCTCTTGAAGTACTAATCAGGGGAAGGGCTAATGTTCCCACGTGATTCACCTCAATGTGAAATTACGCTCACCTCATCTATCTCAGGTTGTACTCTTTACCTTCAGAAAGCAGACCAGCTCTAGATGTCTCATACGCTTTCTTCGTCATCCAAATTCACACTTGTCTTATTTTGTCTATATTGACAATGTACCTTAGTGCTAGTTCGATGCGGATGATGTCCAAAACGAAGAGGTATCTGAATGATACAATTCCGGAAGACAAGCTATATATGAATAGTAATCCCAGTAAGCAAAGAAAAAATTCCATTTTGCGCAACATGAAAAGAACGCAGTTGGTATATAGTCGTCGACGAAAAGAATCAACCCTGAATCAAGAGGTATTGGGGTACACGAGGAGATATAATGAGGGAAATTGTGAAATCCGGAATGTTAGGCAGAGGAAAAGGAAAGGAAATATATGAGGGAATGTGAAAGACACCTCCGGCAAGGAAGTAATACGCCTAAAACATTCCACCTTCTATGGGGACATTGGGCGGCGGGTATGGCGGGACTGCCGGTGCAGGGGGCAGAGGGGCAGCGGCAGCCGCCATCGCTTGCTGTCGGGCCTTGGAGTTCAGACTACCGCCCTCGCTGGAAGTCTTGCGGAGCTTGTTGTGTTTGGACTTGGGCCGCTTGTTGTTGTCGTCGTCGAAGGTGCTATGTTCCTCGGGAGGGCTGCTGACTGTCGAGGCCGGATGGTACGACTCGTGCTTCTCGCCCTTGAGGGCGCCAAGGATGGTCTGGGTGGTGGTCTGGCGGCGTCGTCGTGGGTTCATAGGCGGGATTGGTGGCGTCTCCATGCCGTTACTTAAGCTTGCGCCGGGGGGAAGACCCACAGTCGGCACATTGGATGTGCACGAGACAAAAGTTGGCTCGGAGATCTGCGTCTTGTCAATGACCCGCTTTTGAAGACCGCCATGGCCTGGGGCTCGCTGAGGCAGAGGATGGGCGCCGGTTGCCTGGGTGGGTAGAGATGTCGTGGAAGGATTCGGGGACATTTCGTGTAGAGGTGGTGTGGCATTGGCGGAATAAGGAGCAATTGGAGACGGCCGAGGAGACACTCCAATCATGGAAGGATTGGTAGAGGGCGGAGGAGGTCGATCAAAGTAGCTCGATGTGGCAGACCGACTCCCGCTGCGGTAGCGTCCAGATGCGGCTGACGAGCAACGATCGTAGGATGCCGAACGATCATTGACCTCTACCGATGGACGCGTGGAGGATGGAACCGAAGGAGCGGCTCGCGGGTCAAAGTGCGGGAACGGCTCAGGAGAGCCGGCAGCATCTTCTTTCAGTGTCCCCAGATCATCGCGATCGCGGTATCGTGTTCGGCTCTTGGAGCGGCCGGAGGCGTCCGAGCTCGAACGATCCCTCTGAGACCTCATGCTTGAATGCGGTGAGGCGCCACGGCTGCGGCTCGATTCGCGGGAGCCTTCGTGACTGCCGCGGCCAAACGCTGCCACTCTGGATCGAATCGACTTCTCTCCGGCGATTTGCGGTGAGCTGGTGTTGGAGTGCTTGCCGAAGCTGAACGGCATCTTCTCGTCCTCCTCTCGCCAGGGGTCGTCCGGTACCAAGGCTGGAGTGGATGCGCTGGCGAGACCGACCACCTTGGTATTCTTCGGCTCTTGTCTGCTGAAGAAGGGATGTTTGGGATTCTTGCTCTTCAAAAGGGCAAATGCGTTGCCGGGCTTTGTTTGCGGTGGGTAGTCTGGTGTTCGATGCCCGGAGATCGGGCTAGCTGATCGACTCTCGCTTTCAGCGAACCCTCTCAGCTTTTCCTGCACTCTCCTCCGCCGCTCCGCAAGCTCGATCTCGAATTCTTCCCGCTCCCGCTGGGTCTCCGTGCTTCCTTGACGTCTATGCTTCGATTTCAACTCGTCGTCCCAAGAAGGTACCTTGGAGTTGTCCTGTGAGTCCCTTGAGCTGTTTCCATCTGTGGACGCGCGCTGAGAGGACCCATTGGCCGTATCCGATCCGTTGGCCACGGATCCATCAACCTCGTCATCGTTGGGTTTCGGTGGGAATGCAGGAGAGTGCAGCACATGGAACGACGAGCGATCGCTGTCACGCCGAAGATGGGTGCGAATCAGACCACTTAGTCCAAGGCCCGAGGGTCCGAGTGTGGGCGAGTCGGGCTTTTCCGGGAGAGCAGTGCTGTCATCCGCAACGCTTGTTCTTTCCGATGCTTCAATCTCAGCGATAGGCTTCAAATCACCGAGGTCGGAGAACCGAACTTCAGGCAGAACGCTTTGATGTTCTTCAGGGGGAGTTGCAGGCTTGGGTGGTGTGCTAGACCGGAAGGCAGGATGGACAGCGTCAATAGCAGCCGCAACGTCCCTCGCATTGAATTCATCACCTTCATCGTCGGATGCATCAGAACTGGGGTTTGAGAAAAAGGTCCCATTTGCAGGGCCGGCGGGAGAAGCGTCGATGCTCGGGGCAGTCGAATGATTCGCTGCACGATGAGACTCACTGTAATGAGAGGAGGCAGACTCAGGTCTGGACCAACCGCTCGTGTTTGAAAGACCCCGGGAACGTCCAATGCGTTCCTGTGGAGTCATCCGACCGGGAGGTGATGGAGCTCGTCGGAGGGGCGGTGTGCTCGTGCCCTGGTGCATCTGCAGTTGACGTCGCGTAAACTGACTCTCATCAAAAGCAGTTTGAGGCTTGTTGAAGAGGCCCATCGCCGTAGCTTTTCCATGATCTTCCGGTTGCAAGGCGGCCGCCAATGTTCCTAGGTCTTCATTCTCGCTGACAGGTGGACTCAGTGGCGGTACTCCATAGCCGGGGGTCAGTTGCGACTTTGGTTCCTTGGGATCGCTCTCGTTGCTCGGCAATTTTGGTGACACGGCTGAGGATGGAGGGCTGGTCGGACGGGAACACTCGGGTGTTGGCTCAGCAATCGCGAGTTTCTGGAGGCGGTCACGCAGATTGGTCGCGCTCCTGGAGTACGTCCGGGTAAGAGGAGGCGACTCTAGCGTACCCGCACGTTGGCGACTCAGACTTTCCAGGCGGTGCAGCGTCGTGTTCTGCTGGTTCTGTGCGGACTGTGCCAGACCTTGTCCATAGAGACGTCGAGATTTAAAGGAACCACGTTCTGAGGCCATGGCCCCTATGAATCCTGACTTCGAATTTTCGCCAGAACCCCCAGTCCCCGAGGGAAATGATTCTCCATCGATCGAGGTAGCTGCCGTTGACGTGCGACGATTGGCAGTAGGGCCCGATGCGGTTGAGGACGATGTTGTCCGCTTCATGGAGGAGATGCTTGATAGACCGTCCTCCGATTCTTGGGCTAGAGATTCGTGCTGATTCTCTTCGGTCTCGCGCTCCTCCTCCTTTTCCTTTAGTCTCAAGCGTTGGAAAGCAGACATGGACAGGTCATGCTCATAAAGGGCGCGTCCCACAGGTGCTCGACCCGACTCGGATCCGAAACCATTCGCTGTCTTGGTCGGGATCTTGTAAACCTTCTGCCGTCCACCAAATAGATTATTGCCCTCGGTTCGCCGGGCCCGGCTCATGATACTGCCATTGTGCGAACGATCATCATCTGTCCCATAGCCACCGTCGCCGCCGGAGACGAACGAATCGGTACGGCCCAGGTTGATCGATGGCCTACCATCTAGAGAAGCCTCGTCAATGTCTGCCAAAAGGTTGGGACTGTGCCCGAAAAGATTCAAGCGGGAAGCCCGCTTGGGAAAGAGGACGCTGTCGTCACTCGCTTTGCCGATCAATGAGTCTGGGTCATCCTGTTCTCGCAGCATGCTGAAACGTGCGGACAGCTTCGGCATCAGCAAGCTGGTGCGAAAGTCATCCGTGGATGGCAGGGCATTCGCGAGGTCGAGCTCCGGTTTTTCTTCTTGTTCTCCTTTTTTGTTTTTCCATGATAACTTGGAGGTCAGTGATGTCGGTACACTCTCCATGCTCTCGCCATCCTCCTTCACTTTCTCCTTTCTGTTTTTCCGAAATCGATTCATGATTCTGCCGTAAGACACGGGTTATGCTGGTAAGGCGAAAGTATGCGTCCAAGTAAGGCTCGGTGATCGTAGCACAATCAGGAATGGCCACTCGATCGAGAGATGGTGTGAACCGCTACGCCGTCAACGATTACCAGTCAGAAATGAGGCCATCGACTGTTGACAACACTGTACAGATAGAGAAAGTGCGCGGAATTGATAAACGATGGGTGAGCAATGACATACAGGATAATTGAGAAAACAGAAAGTGATGAGAGTGAGAGAAGAGATATCAATGTATCACAATCATGAATTCATCCCCTGCGCATAGAATGTCGGACTCCGCAGCTGCGAATAGTACTTTGGCTCGCTCCAATAATAGCCAATTAAAGATAGGGATGGGTTGAGTTATCGACAGACGAGGAGACAGGAGAGTTACGAAGCAGACGAAGAATCCTAGGTGGGATAGAACTGGTCAAAACCGACTAATGGGGAGCCCGCATAGGATGTTTGAATGTGGCTGCAATGCAATGTTGAGGGTGGCGGAGGTATTTGGTTGGTTGTACAGTTTAACGTCTACAGTGGAGCAGGCGACCAAAGAGAGCGAAAGAATGGATCGTGAACAATTGATTCGATTCGAGCAATTGGTGATCAATTGGAGGTATCAGAAGGCAGGATAAATGAGAGACGGAAGTTGGATACGAAGGATGCTGGAAGCGTGCTTAGTTCATTAAGGAGCGATAGAGTCCAAGTCGAAGAAGGGGAAAAGGAAGGAAAAAAGTCAAAGTAATATTGTCCTGCGTTCAGACGATTTTATTGTTTTATTATCCTTTACTCGGTACTTTTCTAGGTTATTATCGATTTGTTAATTAAGAATGGGGCGAAGGGGAAAAAAAATAAAATAAAATAAAAAATAAAGAAAAATAAAGGATCTGGATCCGATCGTCCATGATACTTCCTGTTTTACACTTTTCTCTTTTCGTTTTCATTTCGTCTTGTTCTTCCCTTCTCTTCTTAAGTGTTCCAGTGCGTACGGTACCGAGCTTAGATACAGACTACAGAGGACTTTACTCGGTGCTAGTCTGCCTTGGTGTGCAGGTGTGCTTGATAGTACAGTCAAAGAATTTCTAGGCCCCATTAGCGACACTGGCGAGTGTTTGATTGGTAGGGGATCGACAAAGACATCAAATTACGATGCCGAAGTTGAAGAACACCTCCACTGATGGGCGCAAATTAGTTGTGAACATTCCTTTTTGATGCTATACTCCGTACAGCCTGATTTACCTACTATTGAACAGTCTTATTCCCGTGGTTACATGCCCCTGGTACGACGTCCATCATATTCAATTTCGACCACAGGAACACGAGATATAAACTGTTAAGAAACCATGGGTGACCTTCTGATACTGTACGGTACCTCATACTAGCGCGGAGCGTCCCTTGCAGGCCCCGCAACTCAATAGTCCAATAGGATGATGCAATAACAGCGGGTATGAGGGGTGTTTCATCTACTATACAGACTGAAATGTTTTGATACACAATTAATGTATGGAAATATGAATCTGTAATATTCATCTTGTCCTTCATGACAGACTTGGAGAGATTTCTGTGCCGGTACCTGCTTATCTTGGTACCAGTCATGATGCTTAATGATTCAATAATCAGGTTCGCCGCAGCTCATAAAATGTAGATTTGTTCAACGAGATCGCCAAATCTGGTTCTTTCCACGGGATGTGGCCGATGTGGGCCGATCTGGGGCTGAGGACGAAGGCTGAGCTGGAGCCTCAATGAAGAATAATTGGAAATGGAAGGCTGCATGAGGATGCATCAGTCCTGTGTACTCAGCCTCAGCTTGGATTCATCAATAGAGCAGCCGCCAGTCTATCTACTTGATGTCTCCAAGTCCAAAACCATGATTCTAAGGGATATACGCACGGTAGCAGCGCTCATGTGAACATCCATGTATTTGATTTCTTGACGAGATTCAGGTACACTTGCAATAGGGACGAGATACTCCATAATGATCTCACAATTAGAGCTCAGGTTGTGGCTCTGCTCCGGATACTGGAGGTTCGAAGGATTCGAACACTGACTTTGTTAGTGCTGGCCTGCTTGGACACTTTCTAGATTCCCGGTTTTGCGTCCTCGGCGTGTCCATCTCAATTGATAACATCAGGTAGACGTCATCACTTGAGTACTAATATTGACCTTGAGATATAAGAGTTATTATTCAGGAAAGACTAGTAAAAAATTGTACGCAAACCCGGATAATACCGTGTACAAAGCCAACTGAGTGCATCAAATGTGACAAACTCCAAATGCGAAAAGCATATGTTCTCCGTGGAGCCAAAGACTTGAAGCAGAGTTTTAAACATCAGACGATATTCTCCGAGTCGCTGGGTTTGGACGTACAGTAAAACCTCGTTATAACGAGCCTCGCTATAACGAGAACCTCGATATAACGAGATTTTTTCCTTGCTTCAATTAATTCTCCATATAAATAACGAGATCCCTCGCTACAGCGAGTCTCGTTAACTTTGCCTTATCTCCCATACAAAATCTCGTTATATCAAGGGGTTCTTATTAGCTAATATGCCTCAGAGGAAGCCTATCTCAACGTCCCAGAAGGCTGCTTTGCGAGCCCAAAAACGCCTCCATCCAAACGCAACACAGAAAGACCTTCGCAAATGGTTTCAGGAGACCTACGATCATACTCTTTCATCTGGTCTCATCTCTGATATCTTATCCCGCAAATACGACTATCTTGATGCCGATTCCCTCCCTACCCGCGATGCAAAGCGCCAACGCCGTGAGAACTGGCCAGAGCTAGAGAACGCCTTATTTGAGTGGATAATACGTGTGGAGGAACAAATACCTATCTCTGCAGAGATTATTCGACAAAAGGCTCAGTCTTTTTGGGAGAAGATCTACCCAGGGCAAGAGATGCCAACTTTCAGTAATGGATGGCTTCATAACTTCCAGACAAGGAGGTCAGTAAGATGGTATCGACATCATGGAGAGGAGGGAAGTGTTCCAGCTCAGGCAGATCAAGAGATGCTTGAGATTAAACAAGTCTTAAGTGCGTATAGCCTTAAGGACCAGTTTAACTGTGATGAGACTGGCCTCTTCTGGAAGCGGTCTCCTGCACGGAGTCTTTCAACACGTCAACTTCCAGGTCGAAAGAAAGATAAAGCACGGATAACGGCCCTCTTTTGTTGCAATGCGGATGGCTCTGAGAAGCTATTACCATGGTTTATTGGTACAGCGAAGAATCCACGAGCTTTCCAAGCTGCTGGTGTTAATATACGGAATCTGAATCTTATCTGGCGGAGTAACCAGAAAGCCTGGATTACAACATCAATATTTACAGACTTTCTTCGTTGGTTTGATAAGCAGATGAGTGGACGGAATGTTGTCCTTCTTATGGATAACTTCTCTGCTCATCAAGCTGCTGTAACAGAGATTCAATCTAGTGGTTATCCACTACAGAATACTCTTATTATATGGCTTCCTGCGAACTCTACCAGCCGATACCAGCCTCTTGATCAAGGGATTATCCACTGTTGGAAGTCATACTGGAAACGATACTGGATTCGCTTCATCCTTCAAGAGTTTGAGCTTAATCGTGATCCAATTGCGTCAATGAACATTCTACGAGCGGTTCGATGGGGAATCCAGAGCTGGGAATTTGATCTTTCTGGGCAGGTAATCCAGAATTGCTTTCAAAAGGCACTAGATTCTCAACCATCATATCGAGAGCCTGTCGATCCAGCAGTTCTGGATGATATACAGAATGCTTTCTCTCTTCTTAAGCTCTCTACGCCTATCCAGGACCTAATGGATATTGATACCTTTCTGAACCCTGCAGAGGAAGCTGTCCAGGATACTCCTGAAGATATTGAGAGCCAGATTCTAGCTCAGTATGGGCCAGAGCTTGATGATGATTCTGAGGAGGAGCTTGAAATTCTACCACAAATATCACTTGATCAGGCATTGGAAGCACTAAGAACACTTCGTTTATATGAGGAGCAGCAGGCAGAGGGCATTCCTAGCCTTATATATGAGCTAGATAAGCATGAGCGTATCCTTTGGGGTCGAAAGCTGAGCCTACAGACTCAGCGAGATATTCGAAGCTATTTTACAGGCTAAATTATATATATCCTTGATATAACGAGAACCTCGTTATAACGAGAAATTTGGAATGTCTGGAATATCTCGTTATAACGAGGTTTTACTGTATCACACTTAATGTCATGTGTGGTCTTGCATAGGCCCACAGGTCATCCCGGCCATAGCACGCTCAAATAATGGGAGTACCCAGATTTTAGGCGAGATGACTTAAACGAGGTCCATCTCACCATCCGAGCTTTGACGATCGTGGTTTCTCAGCTCGAGCATCTCTCTACCGAGTGAACCGTCCTACGACGATCAATGAACCACTCGCCCGATGATGGAACGAAATGAACCCGTTGATTGCAACGCTGAACAGGAACAGCAAGGAAAGATCGAGTATCCCTGCCACCATATAGATACCTAGGAAGGACTACCTAGGCGCTAGGTAACGCCACGGATTGACTCCAACTGGAAAATCCTTCATTATTGGTGTACTGGCAGGCTGACAGCCGTTGGCGAGGTAAATTACCGGCTCTTAGTATCAAGCCTCGCGAAGTCCTGGATGGATAGATTCGTAGGAAACTTCTAAGCTTGAATCGAAGGAGTTGGAAGACCTCCTTTGGTGCCCAATGGCAATTATTGAGTCCTCGGCGGGCCTGCGGCTGTGGGATATTAATATTGTTACAGGCAAGCTTAGTGTGGTTTTGAGTCGTGTTGGTACGTACCTAATACAAGACAGGACAGTAATTGAGTTTGACCAACGCTCGGGTGCCCCTGACTAGTACTAGAAAGGATAAGTGGTAATTCAGATTGACGGTCCAAATACCTTAGATCCAAAATACAGTACCTTTACCTCCATCTCCAGCGAGATCTGTCTCTTGTGTACTCCTTTGGTATGTGGTAAAGTAGTCTTCACCCTGATGAATCAAGTAGAGAGAAGATAGACTTGATTAAGAAAGCCCTGTGGAATGTAGAGTCATTCATTGTGCTAAATACAGTACCAGCCAGGAATGCTGAGGTTCTTTCCGTACAGAGTAGTCAAACACAGATTCGGATCAGACATCCTCATAATCTCCCAGGCCTGGGCCTTTCGGGTCTTTGGGTCCTTCATTAAACAGTTCCCTCGCCGAATCATCATTGGTCGCCTTCCTCAAGGTCATTGTCCAGACTCCACCGCGATATTATTAAAGTGTCTAGCCTGGAACTCACCATCTCACTATCTACGGAAAATCTACCCCATGTCTCACAGTTAAGATGCAGGAATACATTGTTGAATAATGTGAATCAAGCAAAGCCATCGTCTAGTCAACGACCAAGCTTTAGACATGACACAAGCGATTCAATATCGAGTCTCTCAGTTTCAACCCATTTTAGAGGCGTAGTTTCATCGTAGTATCATACTGTTACCGAGAAATCACTAACCACAGTCTGGGTGTATATACTTCTCATTGACTCCATCCAGTCCCTACGTCACCAGTGCACTTAAAGTAAGACATTTAATCCGGTTTAATTAGGATCTGTCGCCTTGTCAGCTGAAGCGAAAACTGGGGATGTTTGCTCCTTCGAATCTCCAATAAAGGGTTTCTGAGACTTTCACGTACTTGCCATACTCAGAGGGTAGCTATACTTATATCCATTCTCCAAATAAACAGATCCCTTACTGGATAATAAATTTGCCAATCTAGTGGACAATGCTAATACTCTGTTGTTATGGATTGTCAATGGTGACGGATTGCCTGCTGCTACCCCAGATATATAACTCCGTATCTAAGGGTGAACGGGAAGTCCACACGGAGAATCTGTACACTAACGAGAGGCGAAACGCCGTTTCTTTGACGAGCTCTGATGCTAAGTGATCATATATGAGCTATCCACCTTGTTGTGACGAATTCCAGGGGTATATCAATCTGCAATGCAACAAAGGCCCCCAGCTCAAAACAATCGACCAGTGCCAAGTCCATGACGCAATGAGACACCACCACAATCATCAATCCACATAGCATTAACTTCTCTATACCATCAGCTCCGAATAATAATACTCTAGTTTACAAACCCGTTGAGAAGTAAATATCAATAAACCCACCGATACCCCTTACACAATGCAAGTCCTCCTCCTCGGCGGCCACGGCAAGGTAGCCCAGAAACTAACCCCGCTCCTGCTCGCCCGCGCCTGGAACGTCACCAGCGTTATCCGCAACCCCGAGCACGAGAACGCGATCCTCGCCCTGGGCAAAGGCGCAAGAGGCAAACTCTCCGTTCTCCTATCCAGCCTGGAGGACGTAAAAAGCGACGATGACGCGAAGAAGATCGTCGACGCCGTGTCCCCGGATTATGTAGTTTGGTCGGCCGGTATGTAATCCACCCGATTGCCATGTCCGGCACGCAGCAGTTGATTGACTGGCCACAGGAGCCGGAGGCAAAGGCGGCCCCGAGCGAACCTTCGCTATCGACGAACGAGCCGCAAAGCACTTCCTTGCTGCGTCGTTCGCCTCGCCCCGCGTCACCAAGTTCCTGCTGGTCTCGTGGCTGGGTAGTCGACGGGTCCATCCCAGCTGGATGTCAGATGAGGATTGGGCAAGTATTCAAAATGTGTTTAATAATGTTCTTCCTGTGTATGCCAAGGCCAAGCTCGAGGCGGACGAGTACATGACTGCGTTGGCGGCGCGGCGCAAGCAGTCCGGCGGGCCGAAGTTGCAGGCGATCTGTCTGCGGCCGGGGACGCTGACTGACGAGCCTGCGACGGGACGGGTGGCGCTGGGGAAGACGAGGGGCGTGGGGAATGTGACGAGGGAGGATGTTGCCAGGGTGGCGGATCAACTGCTGGCGAGGGCGGATACGGAGGGTTGGTATGATTTGTTGAATGGGGAGGAGCCGATAGAGGAGGCTGTTGAACGAGTAGCGCGGGAAAAAGTGGACGCGGTTGATGGAGAGGATGTTGATGGCATGGTGAAGCGCTTCTTCCCGTGATCATGCATCTTACAGGATTGGCGCTATAATGAAGGAACTACGATTGTCAGTGACAGGTATCCTCATGTTCTTCAATGTTCGTTATATACAAATTCTATTACAGCTTAGCTTTGGGAGCAGAGGCCCCTAAAGCCTTGCTGGCATCCTCCTTGGCCTGTTTCTTGAGAAGCCGTCGCAGAATTTTCCCACTCGGACTCTTGGGGATCTCGTCCACGAATCTCACACCCCCACGCAACCGCTTGTGGTATGCAACCTTGGCATCCAGCCACTGGACGATCCTCGTGGCCTCCTCCTCGGCAGTGATGTTCGAGTTCTTGCTCTTTGCGCTTCGCACAATGTAAGCAAGTGGCACTTCCGTTCCGTGTGCTTCGCTCTCCACACCAAGGACAGCGACATCATCGACCGCCTCGTTGTCCACCAGAATTCCTTCCAGCTCCGCCGGAGCAACCTGGAAGCCCTTGTACTTGATGAGCTCCTTGACACGATCGGTGATATAGAAGTTGTTATCCTTGTCTTGGTAGCCCACGTCTCCTGTCTGGAACCATCCGTCCTTGGAAAGGCACTTGGCCGTCGCCTCCGGGTTGTTGTGGTAGCCCAGGAAAACGTTGGGTCCGCGCAAGTACAGCTCGCCCACCTCGCCCACAGGCACTTCGCGAGGTTCCGACCCGTCTTCAGGCATGGTCATATACTTTGCTTCCATGTTGGGGAGCAACTTGCCCACGGAACCAATGCTTGTGCGCCACTCTCCCCATGGCTGGGTATGGGTAGTTGGACTCGTCTCGCTGAGACCGTATCCCTGCTTGATACCAGTCTTGATCCGTGCATAAACCGTCTCGACAAGTTCCTGCGTGAGTGGTGCGGCACCAGAGTTCATCATACGGAGACTGGACAGATCGTACTTGTCGACAATGGGGTGCTTGCCGAGCAACAGTACGACCGGGGGCACCACGTAGCTGAACGTGATACGGTAATTCTGCACATGGGCACACCACTTCTCGATGTCGAACTTTGGCATGACATACAGTTCGTAACCTTGGTAGATGGTCTGGTGGACCAGGCAGGTCAACCCTGAAGTCTTTGTCAGTAAAATGGGTTATAAAGATGTCACGCAGCCGCAGGACTGACCGTAGATGTGGTAAAAGGGAAGGAAGGCCAAAATTCGATCTCCCTTTCCATCTGCGCCACCGTTCCAACTCAGCTGCTTATCCTCTCCTGCCGCAAGTTGGAGGGAATTAGCGACGATGTTTCGGTGACTCAGCATGACTCCCTTAGGCACACCAGTAGTCCCCGACGAATAGACCAGGAATGCCAGATCCGTTGCAGGATTGATTTTAGTCTTGCGGTATCTGGTCGCCCCCGAAATGTTCCTGATCGAACTGAAATGCTTAAATTTGGCTTGCGGGTCCCGCTCATCGCCGATGAGGATGATTCGGTCTTCCGTGATGCCTGCCTGCTTTGCAGCTGCCGTGGCGACCGGTAGCAGCGCCATCTGAGTGATGAGAGCCTTCGCGCCAGAGTTCTTCAACTGAAACGCCAGCTCCTCCACGGTGTATGCAGGATTTGCTGGAGATACCACACCCCCAGCCCAATGAGTTCCCCACATCACAGCCGGTGTATCAATGCAGTTGGGAGTGAAGAGGGCAAGGACATCCCCCTTCTTCCAGTCCAGGACGGCCTTCAGGCCTTTGCCAAATGCGAGCGCCGTCTCTTTAACATCTTTGTAGGTATATTGTCGCTTTGTGTCGGCGTCTATGTAGATGACTGTTTACAGTTAGTTTTCAAGTCGGGGCCTGGAAAGAACAAGGGATACACAAACGTTTGTCATCCGGAAAAGGCCTGTCCTTCCTCTCAAAGAGAAAGGTCCAGAGGTCGACATTGGGAATTTTTATCGAAGGATACGGTGAGGAGACGGGCATTGTCACTAGAAGATGCGGGGTAGAGTAGGCAGAGATGAGGAGAACCAGATGACTCAAAATGTCAAAAGGACGAGTGTGAGCGTGACCGTGGAGTGCAACTGGACAATCGTAGTCTTTAACAGGAGATAAAGAAGAGACAAGGTACACCAGATGACTGTCTCTCTGAATGGCGATGGACAATAACCTTGGAACTACTAATCAACATCCGGACACTGCCTCGGTATCCTGGCCGTTAAGGCGCCGATACCCGAGATGCGGGCACTCCACGTCGGCCATCAGCGGCGATCAAGGCCAATTACTGATACACCTGAGTAACCCGCGTATACTGTGTTTGAGTCTCCCAAAACAGTAGATAGAATTGATCGCCTTGGTAATGGATTCTACTATATATCAAAATTAACAATACAGAGAATACCACTTCTACCGGATCTCTCGGTATCTGCGTCGGTACATAGGCTTTTTGGCTTTTGCGGCTTTACCGCATTGGGATTCTGGGGGATTCTGTTGCGTTTTGTGGGGAACTTGTGATGACTAAGAAAGTAACAATCATTGGACTGGAACTAGATTTGTTGTGTGCTAAGTGAAAGGATAGCCCTGCTCTGACTTCCTGATTCTTGACTATCCATCACTATCAGGATCCCTACAAAAGAGGAGTACCTACATGCTCAGCAACTGACAGAAGCAGAATGTACTGTTTGAAATACCCATCGATTTCTGCCCCTATCTAGTCCGACCCTTCCCAAGCAGAGAACCTCAGAGTCTCTTCTTCGAATGGACAGTGCAGTCAGACCATCATACTTCATCATCGAATCCTCCTGTCGCTGCGTCGTCCTGCTTGAGAACCATGAAGCAGTATTCCCACTGACAGTGTGTGACAGGGCATATTGATGTTCCCGCCATCGCTTGGCGGGCCAATCACAGTGCAGAGATTCCACAAACAGATGAGCATATAAATCACTTTAATCTCTCACCAAGTGCCTTCGGGCATTTGGTCAATTTGAAACGATACAGAGAAGATTAGCATGGCCCCTGCACTAAGGATGACACGCTCAATCAAAGAGAAGCTACCAGTTTTTTTTCATTCTTACAGACCTCATTTGGAGGTGTTGAGTTTCTGTACCTTCTACATGTGTGCGAAAGGTCGACGGTTCGAGAACGGGCTGAGTGTCTTTTTTTGGCTTCTTTTTCCCTCCTTGTTTTCGGGCTTGACCTTCGAACTCTGGCAAACTGTACGGAGTATGTCAAAAAATTACATGTCTCATCGTAACATCGCTCTCTAGCTATGCATATATATTACTGAAACATAGCAATGTAGTTCTAATACATGATCTTGAAATTGTAAAAGAGAAAAGAAAAATATGCACCCATCTACATCAGGCTCGTCCGCCCACCGATCTCCCGACCTGCTTCGCCATTCGGCATTTCGCCATTACGTCCCTCCACAAATTCACGGTAGATTGCTTGCAACCGCCTGCGTTCATTTTCGCTGAGTGAGCAGCGTGTGGTGGAAAGGGATCGTTCCATGTGTTCCCATCGGACCACGATCTCCTCGCGCGGCGCTTCTTCAGTAGTAGCCCCATTTGTAGTCGGTGCGGCACTAGTCGCACCCTGTTCGATCTGTCGTTGACGACGCCGAGCGTTCTTGATGGCTTCGATTTTGGCAGCAACGACGGCTGGTGGCGGTAGAGAGACGGCACCAGCTCTTTGCTCCGACGTCGAGTACAGAAACTGGATGAATGACTTGCTGCTGGTGCTCGATGTAGGCTTGGAACTGCTCTTCGATGTTGATTTGTCGGTTGTACCCGAATGGTCGCCAAGTGCATCGTGGACAGCTTCTAGGTGGGCATTATACACGACGGCTTGCAGATCAGCTCCGGAGAAGCCATCGGTTCTTGCAGCTATTTCGTCCATACGAGCAACAACCTCGGCGTCCATCACGAGCTTTGTACTCACAGCTCGAATGATGTCGAGCCGGTCCGAATGACTTGGCATGTCGCAGAGCAGAGACTTGTCCAGTCGTCCGGGCCGGAGCAACGCAGGGTCAATCAGGTCAGGCCGAGACGTGGCAGCGAGAACATACACGCCTGAAAGACCTTCCGCACCATCCATCTGTGTGAGAAGCTGGTTGACGACACGATCTGTGACGCCGGTGGAGTCGTGGCCACGCTTGGGAGCAATACTATCGAATTCGTCAAAGAAGAGAATGCACGGTCGAGCGGCCTGGGCTCGTTCAAACAGATCACGCACACTCTTTTCGCTCGCACCGATATACTTGTTCAGGATTTCGGGACCCTTGACGCTAATGAAGTTCAGGCCACATTCGCCTGCTATCGCACTTGCCAGAAGGGTCTTCCCGCATCCCGGAAAGCCGTACAGGAGCAAGCCGGAACGCAAACGCAGAGGACATTGCGCGAAGATAGGCGCATACTTGGTCGGGTACTGCAAGGTCTCCAGCAGCATCTTCCGGGTTTCGTGCAGACCACCAATAGCTGAGAATGTTGTGGTAGAGGATGTGAGCGTGACATTGCGCAGAGACGCCGGCGTGAACCCTTTAATGGCGTTCTCAAAGTCCTCAGCACCAAGAGTGACTGCTTTGGATGCGGCCTGAGGGTCTTGAACGGACCGTATCAGAGCCTCATTCCGCGCCCGAGCGACAAGCAAGACAAGATCGCCGGGCATGTATCCATCTGTCTTCCCAGCCAGATCGAGAAAATCGATGTCTCGTGCGAGAACAAAGCCATCTGCACCAGCGGAGCTCGGACGGCTTCCAGGATTCGAAGGATCTAACCAGGAGTCGTGAGTGGACGCGCTCGCCGTTCGCGCATGTCCATTGGTAAGGCTCGTGGAGGCTCGATCATGGCTCGTCAGCTTCTCAAGCACTTTGCGCCGTCCTTCCTTGTCAGGCGCTCTCAGGTGGATGATCTCTCGGACCACATGGCCCCCGATGATGACGTTGTTCAACGACTCTTTCGATTGAGCGGTCGCTAACAGCACCACAGAAGAGTTCATTGAGCAGTATTCTCGCACCATCGAACAGATTACCTCGCTGTTTTGACGGCTGCGGCCATTGTCTCCTCCTACCTGCAGCTCAGTTTCCACAGGGCATAGCTTGTCAAGATCGTCCAGAATCACAACGGATTGGCCGCCAAGACGAGCACACCAAGAAGCAGACATGAACAGGCGATTGAGGGTCTCCTTGATATTCGAGATTCGAGTTTCATCAGTGACAAGTTTACGGCAAGAGAAATATTTCACGTTGAACAAGTGGTCTTTTCGCAGACGATGTGCCAGCAAATGCGTTAGTGCTGTCTTTCCTGACCCGAGACCGCCCGTCACCAAGACAGAAGATGATTTGGTCAAGTTGTCAAGGGACTGAGAAATAACCTGGTCGATACCAACCATCTCGGGAATACTGCTGGGAAGCGGCTCCTCGGTGGGTAAGGACAATTGGCCTTGTTCAGCAGGCCTGGGAATCTCAGCTTGCACCTCCAGCGATAGCTTCGCTTCGGACCCCAAAACCCAGCCGAGCATCTGTTTGGGGCCATCAGGACTGCTCTTCAGGGGAGGATCGAATCGGACAATAGCGCCATCGAACGCGGACACTGTTGGATTTTCGAACCTTGGTAAAATCATCCCGTCGGTTAAAGGGCCAGACAACAGTCCTTTATCCGTCCCGGTGCTACCATAAATCACTTTGATACGCTCAAGCAGCGCATCTTTGGCTGCTGCGGTGTCTGCGCCAAATTTGAGTCCGTCCTTTTTCTTAGTAGAATCAGACATGAAAGGGTAGATCTTAAGCGTCCTGACAATAGACAGTTGCAACTGCGGAGGAGCTGCTTCAACGCGAATAATGCCCCCAACCATACCTTCAGCGCCCAGCGCAGAGCATAGCATAGTAGACATGGCGATATGCTGACTGTCTGGCGAGTCTACCCAGGGCGCTAACCTAGCCACCAGTTTTGTCGCCGGCGCCCCTGCTTCGCTTGCCTTCTGCTCAGCTTGGTTCATTTGTTGTTGAGGATCCGGCGGCGCCTTTAATCCCGCAGGTTGGACGACAGTAATGCAGACCCAGCTGGCCCCACGAAGCTCACTTGTTGCAAGCATGTCGGGGTCGACCCACACGCGGAAACCCTCATTGGTATCATCCTCGAATTCTCCATCGAAGTACGGCTCAACCAAGCGGCGATCCACCCCTCGAAAAAAGAGAGCGCCTCTACTTGTCGAGTCACGGCCGCTCTTGGGTCGCACCGTGCTTCCACTGCTTCTCCCACCAACACTTTTCCTGCTGCTGCCGTTCACGCTTCGGCTATCGCCCCTTGGACCTCTTGAGGCAGATTTAGGGCGTACCTTTGGCGCAACAATAACTTCTGCGTCGGGTGCTATTTTCGCAAATGGTGATGTATTCGATGGTGCAGGAGTAAGCGAGGTGACGACGATGTTAGCGGTGGATGTCGGGGAAAGGTGCAGCGCAAGGGGATGCATGTGCTCTGACTGTGCCGAGCTGTACGTAGGATTAGGGAGAGCGCGAATTTGTGACAGGAGATTGAGCTCCAGGAAATTTGCATGAAGCTCAATAACTAATGGCAACGTGTTGTCAGCGGACGCGATCATTCAGTCTCACATGGAGGATAGCGCATACTCTCCCAATCTTCCGGAGTTAATGGCTCGATATTGATGGTGTGAGCAACTGGCGGATCAAGGTGAATATATATCCCAACCTGGACGCGCGTGAGAAACCCGTGGTAACTAGAATCTCCAAGAGGGGCTCACCTTCTGCCCTTCTGAGAGGCCCAGAACTCTTCCGTACGTGGTATCTACCTCAACAGTAGATACGTCCAGCTCCCTCGTAGATCCACTACTAATTCCTTCCCGACCAACGACGGGTGCAAGCTTTCGCTTGCTCGGCATTCCCGTCCACCCTAGGTAACATGATCGCTGCGCCTGGTTGCTGTTTGCCCTCCCCGAAGCGGGACGATATTGTAGCTCAACTATAACATTTTGTGCAGCCTAGCAACTATATTAGATGCTTGTAAAGTCAAAATCAGGGGTTTCACGTGAAGGCGACGTACCGTGTTGGCGTTGACCAGCAGTGAGACAAGTGACGGAGGCAAGTTCACTAGACAGTTCTTCAAAGGAACGAGTGCGATCTCCGCTGTGCTCGAGGGTTTTCTGGGCGCCATCTCCCGGCGCTGTTACTCAGAACCCTGCTGTTCAAAGGGGTCAGGAAAGAAGTTTCACGTTGTCTGGAGGAAGAGAAGCATCGACAACCGACAGATAGCATCCCCCGGACTTCATTGACTCCGCAAATCAAATGCCCGCCAGCGCCGTTCGCCGAGTCGGCCCGCCTGATGTATTTCGGACCGAGACATTTTCCGTTCCGCCCCACGTGCTGTCTAGACTAATCCAATATGAGCCAAGTGTAAGTTGAGGAATGGAAACGCGTCTCTTCCGCGTCGCGACGTGTTTTGCGCCAAAAAGTTGCGGGCACCAAAGATCCACTAATGAAGTACACTAAGGTACCAGCCAACCCTCACTTGAGTCCTTGATTTCTTCTTGCTCTGATCGGTGGAAATCTGATCCTGTCGCCAACTGCACTACTTTGCCAGGTCAAGTCCAATTGAATTGGCTTGCTCCATTGCCTCACCATGGCTCTCGTTCAGTACCCACCGCCAGTCGACTATGCGGCGCAATTGAATGCCTTCAAAGACTTTTTACAGCATTTCAAAACATTCGAATCGGCTTCCGAAGCTGCTGCAACCGAGGCGATTGAAGATCTTCACATCGACGGAGATGCTACCAGCGATGAATATGACTTCATGGACGATGTGGAAAATGAGAACGGGCAACAAGGGACAAGAGCACGCCGCGGGCGTCGAGAACCGAAGCTCAAGTACATGCAGATCCTGCAGGACATAGCAGATCGGGAACGGTCAAACGTTCTGATTGAATTGGATGACTTGGCTACAGTAAGACTCCAGGATATCTAGATTGTGAGGCAGTACCTAATCCTGTGTACTAGTTCGAAAAATCCCTACCGGAGGACACAGATTTGAAGCTCGTTGAGTCCATACAACGGAATACCAAGCGTTACATCGATGTTCTCTCTGATGCAGTCGATGCTGTTATGCCGAAAGAAACGAAGGAAATCACGTATGTTGAGTGGTCTGTTCCTTGAAGCTTCCATCTAACAGCCTACAGCTTCAAGGACGATGTTCTCGATGTCATCATGTCGCAACGTGAAAAGCGAAACGAGGCTATGGCGATGGCTGCGGAGGCCGATATGGATGCGGCTGCGGCTCTCTCGATGTTTCCTCCTGAGTTGACTCGTCGATACACCCTCAATTTCAAGCCTCTTACTCCATCTGGGTCAAGCAGCGACCGGGACTCCAAGGCTCTCGCAGTCCGTAATGTGCGAGCAGAACACCTGGGTAGTCTGATCACGGTTCGCGGTATTACAACTCGTGTCTCGGACGTCAAACCATCAGTCCAGATCAACGCTTATACTTGCGATCGGTGTGGATGCGAAGTGTTTCAGCCAGTTACCACAAAACAATTTCTGCCTATGACTGAGTGCTTGTCTGAAGAGTGCAAGCAGAACAACTCGAAGGGACAATTGTTTCTTTCCACTCGTGCTTCGAAATTTGTTCCCTTCCAGGAGGTCAAGATCCAAGAAATGGCAGATCAGGTTCCTGTTGGTCACATTCCACGAACACTAACCATTCACTGCCACGGGAGTCTGACACGACAACTCAACCCTGGAGATGTTGTTGACGTTGCGGGCATCTTCCTTCCCACACCTTACACAGGGTTCAGGGCCATCCGTGCCGGTCTCTTGACCGACACATACTTGGAAGCTCAGCATATCACACATCACAAGAAGTCGTACAATGATCTGACGATGGACAGTCGAACGCTCCGGAAGATTGAACAGTATCAAAAGTCTGGAAATATGTACGAGTACCTGTCTCGTTCCATCGCTCCCGAGATTTACGGCCATCTTGACGTGAAGAAAGCCTTGCTTCTTCTGCTTATTGGAGGTGTGACAAAGGAAATGGGCGACGGCATGCACATCCGTGGTGACATCAATATCTGCCTGATGGGTGATCCTGGTGTTGCCAAATCGCAATTGCTGAAATATATCACCAAGGTTGCTCCACGAGGCGTGTACACTACTGGACGAGGTAGCAGCGGAGTTGGTCTTACCGCTGCTGTTATGAGAGATCCTGTAACGGATGAGATGGTGCTGGAGGGAGGAGCCCTGGTTTTGGCGGACAATGGCATTTGCTGTATCGATGAATTCGACAAGATGGATGATGCTGATCGGACTGCTATCCATGAAGTGATGGAGCAACAGACCATTTCCATTTCCAAGGCCGGTATCACAACAACCCTGAACGCTCGTACCTCCATCCTGGCTGCAGCCAACCCTCTCTATGGACGGTACAACCCACGAATCTCTCCAGTGGAGAACATCAACCTTCCCGCCGCATTGCTCTCGCGTTTCGACGTCATGTTCCTCATCCTAGACACTCCACAGCGTGAAGCCGATGAGGAATTGGCCAACCACGTCGCGTACGTCCACATGCACAACAAACACCCCGAGATCGACGATGCCGGAGTTTTGTTCACACCAAATGAAGTCCGTCAGTACATCGCTAAGGCGCGCACATATCGGCCTGTCGTGCCCTCGTCAGTTTCCGATTACATGGTCGGAGCTTACGTGAGAATGAGGAAGCAACAAAAGAGCGACGAAGCCAGCAAGAAGCAATTCTCTCATGTGACTCCCCGTACTTTGCTTGGTGTCGTTCGTCTCTCGCAAGCTCTTGCCCGCCTTCGCTTCAGCGAAGAGGTCATTAGGGAGGATGTCGATGAGGCTTTGCGCCTTATCGAGGTCAGCAAAGCATCCCTGGCCAATGACGGTCAGTCCGGCGTGGACCAGAGCCCCAGCAGCAAGATCTACAATCTCATCCGCGGTATGCGTGAGAGCGGTGCTGCCGCTGTCGGGGACGGTGAAGAGGGTGAACTTAGCATGAGAAGGATTAGGGAACGCGTTCTTGCCAAGGGCTTCACAGAAGATCAGCTCACAATGGCGATCGACGAATACGAAGAGCTTAATGTACGTGTTGTCAGCTTGAATAGTCCTCGGTGGCTCTTACTAATATCTTTGCTCCTTTGCAGGTTTGGCAAGTCGTTAACAACGGAACTCGCCTCATTTTCTTGGATCTCGGCGGTGATGAGGCAATGGACATCTAATGGGCCAGCGAAGGATTGCAGTTTAGACTGGCAGAAAATAATCACTGAAATCTGCTGCAACTCCTTGGTTTAATATCGATCACGGTTCGGCCGTTTTGGTAGGGGTTGGTTATGTTCCTCGTATGAGCAAGAGCATGGGATTACGCACGTTCGAAGGTAGATTTTCGGAGACTGGTGTTATGGCGCATACTACAATATTTTAGCCTCCTGGGATAAGAACAATGCATCATTACTTCTGATTCACTATTGTTAAGCCAAATGACAAGATTTATAGTCCAAGGATTAGACTAGCAGTATTCACATTGGCAAGGGAATGATATATACGAGTCTTGCACGACATTAGGTACAAAACAAGCAGATTCACGAAGGAATGTCGCCGTAGAACACTCATTCCAGCAAATAACCCAGTCTCAGCACAAGAAGCACCCTCACGACAGTCCCCATCAGATAGCACACTTGTCTTGGATAGGAACCTCAGCGCACAGGTCCGGGCTTGCGCCGTAGGGGTTGTCACAGAGGGTGTTGCACTCGGTGCTTTCGGGGGTGAAGACCAGGAACTGGTAGTTGGGGACATTCAGACGGAACTGTTTGCTGACGTCGTGGTTATCCTTCGAGGCCTTGTAGCCGGCGCGGCAGGCGCAATGGAAGCGAGTGCCTGTGTTGATGCAGGAGGTGGTAAGGTCGCAGTGGTTCTGGCCGGAGAGCGGGTTGCAGGTTCCGCACTTGGGGGGAATGCTGGAGGAGAAGACGAGGGAGGCGGAGGCGAGGAGGAGGGAGGTGAGGATGGAGAGGTTCTTCATCTTGGTGGTTGTTGCCGTGGGTGGTTTGAAAAGTAGCTCAGAAGGTGTTGAGGGATGTTTGGTAGGGTTGGAAGTGTGCTTTGATGCTTGCTTTTTGGGAAAGATATCTTGATGCTTGAGAAGAGATGGGGTGTAGATCGAGTATCCTCACCCTCTTTATATACCTTTGCATCGTTCGGTAAGAGATCGAGTCTCCCACACCTGGACACATACATGGACACAAACATGCAACTGCAAGTAAGGCCATCGATAGCCGTGAGACACTGCGCAAGTGATCCAGACGGCATCTTCTCTCCGACATCCACGTCATAAGATGGTGAAGGTACAAAAGGCAACAAAAAGAGGCTCTGAGACATGTCTCTCAATCGCACAGCGGACAGGTTTAGGTGACAGCCGTCGTAGCTTGGATGTCCTCCCAGCTGAAGGTGACTGGACGTGTGTCAAGTCATGGCATCTTCGGATTGGTAGTAGCAATACGAGATCTGGAACATTGAGGTGAGTGGCCGATATTCCCCCGCAAATGCATCTGACGTACCGAGTCCAGCCCGGCAAATGAGACGCAGAGATACCCGTCAGAAACAGTCATCGAGTCCAAGGGAGCCTCATCCGAGATGGCCTGGTCAGAGTGTGTTGTCATCTGTGATTGGAAGTGTTCGGGCCATATTTAGCAGCAGAACCGTCTTGTAGTCAGTGTAGAATTGGGTAGAACACATGACCAGGTGAATAGAAGAAATCTCTTGTTAGACTTCGAGCGACACTTGGTGAGATGCTGTGGAAGGTATCTTAGAATAGCAGAGAAAGATGTGCAGGCTTTCAGGCTGTCAACGATACTGGAACTTGACGAATGGAAATCAACTATAGGCGAGGTCAACAGAAGAAACTCAAGACACATCATATGTCAGATCCAAAAGTTGCATCGAATAAGCGCATGAAGTGGAACTCTTCAATTGAAATCTACAGTGTTGGCTATTTTCAGGAAGGAGAGTAGATTTATGTATCACGCTCAGTTCATTATTGGTTCAACCACTGAAATATGCCTTCCTTCGTGGCAAAAGCTCGGTCATTTGATCCCCCAACGGATCTTATCATTGCGAAGAAGAAAACTCGGGCCAGTTATCGGTTTCATGACTGACAGACTCGCAGGCTGGATATGCGCAAGCCCCAGACGGCGAACAGCCTACAGATGGGTCCTGGAAGCCTCCGGTTCCCCAATCAATTCCAAGAAGCTTTCATGAACTTCGTCGGTAAGATCGCTAGCCTGCAGGCTCCTACCCTTGGCATTGAAGGCCCGCCGAGAACATTCTCGAGTGATGCCACTGCCTGCCCATGCAACCAGTAGTAGGGTTGTCGCCGGGGACATTCTCTTGTTCTCTGACTCAAGCTCAGCTAACACATCCTGCTTAGACTGCGCTTCTTTCGGGTTCTCCTGCTCGCCGGAGTCCCATAATTTGTCATGGTAAGCAGCTCTCCAAGCCAGCAGTGTACCAAGAGATCCTGTGAGTGTATCTCCTTGGCCCCCACTGCGCTTCAAGCCTCCTTTCAAGTCCGAGATCAGGGTCGTCACACCGTTTGAAATCACATCATGCGGTCCTTTCTGGATAATTGTCACACCGCCCAAGGCCTGTGAAAGTTGCTCGCAAGCCTGCGATTCTTTGCTGGTCTTGTCGCCTTCATCAGTCTGGGCTGCAAGCTGTGCCTGACTGGGAACTTCAATGCCCAACGCCTTAGCCAATCGACTGAATTCGTTGACATTGGGTGTCAAGATACAGTCCTTGTAGCCTTTGACCAGGTTGGGATCCTCCGTCACAAGAAGGAGACCGTCAGCGTCTAGAACAAAGGGTATCGAGCGGGACCGCGCCTCTTTCATAACTTCGGTGACCACTTTGAGAGTCACTCCATCACGACCTAGCCCTGGACCGATTACTAACGCATGCAGCCGAGATAGCATGGAAACAATAGGGCTGGCAAGTGCGGGAGCATCAATGCTACCGGGGTTGCTAACCGAGTCGGTGCTCGGAAGCAATGGATGTACCATCAGATTCGGGGAGTAGGACTTGATAACCTGGCAAGCTACGTCAGTCCGGACATTTAAGATTTATTAGGACTTCGGTGGTTACAAACCGTAGCTGCAGATTTCTCACAGATCACATGGCTCTATACTTGGTTAGAAGTCATCATACTGGAGCCGCCGCAAAGACTCGTTCAACTAACCATGTCACATCCTGCATCATAGTTAGTCAACCAATACCAAGTGGTCGGCTATGCTACTTTGATGACATACCTAATCGAGCTGATGCCATTGAAGAGAAGTATGGAGCCCCTGTGTAGCTTTATGATTATGAATATTTGCTCTCAAACAGTTGTACAGGGAGCCATTCGGCATACTCTAAAGAACCTCCGATGACAGCCACGCGTCCATGTTGACCTTCTCTCGTCAGTCATTGCTCTTCTAGGGGAAATCATTCTGTAACTTCTCAACCGAATTGAGCTTACCCTTGTGGAACTTCTCCAGCAACGGAGGCACAATCTTGCGCACTTTTTTGAAAAGGACCTTCGAGGAGGTCGATACATGTACCGGTTCCATATTCGAGTCTGTTACGAAATCCCAAGGAATGACCAATAGATGAATCAAGGACAATGAACTTCTCTTTCAGATGAGAAGGAGCTCTATCTAAGTGATACTTTAATACGGAGGCAAGCTGGAATGGGGCCGGTGATGTCACCGCCTAGCAAGTGGGGCAACCAGCAGCTCCAAATACCCAGTACAAACAGTTGATAAATCGGTTTCATTCGGCCATGGACCACAGTAAATGTCATGTTTTATCTATCTAGCAGGGAACAGAAAAAGGGAGGATAAATATGTAAGAATGACGCCCGCTCTCTGCAAGTAAACCGCATAAACCAGGTAAAATGGAACCAGCTAGTAAGAAAAAGACGAGTAACCCACCCTCTATTGACACCCTGACGCTCGCTCGCTGATGCCAAGTAGAAACACAAATATATTGAACGCCATGAAGAAATCAAAAGTGACAGAAGAGAAGACTAGGCCAGCAGTGAGGGAGTAGTGAATATGCACAAAGGGAACAATATGGTTCGTATGTATAATGTAGCCACGGGGTATTCCTCGCTGATGCTCCGTATGCATATGATTAGGAAATTTGCTCTTCAAAAAATAATGGATCGCCGAATGAATGAAGGCAACGGCTGAGCTCAATATCGACTCTTAGCAGCCAATGCTGCGAGTTTCTTCCGTCGTTCTAGCTTTTCCTGCTTGGCTGCAAGCTCAGCGCGCAATTCCTCCTCGTCCTCTTTCCTTGCAGCTGCTAATGCAGCAGCTTCTTCCTCCTCTACATCATCGTAGCCAGCTTCCATGTCGGATGATGCGGAGTAGTAGTCATCGTAATCGTCTCCTTCGTCTTCTTCATCTGTTGCCAGATACTCATTCATTCTAGCGCGCTTACTAGCCCGAGACTGTGCTTTCGGTTCTTGTGAGCTGCGTCGACTTGGCAAGCCGGCTGTTCCCCGGTACTCCAGCTGTGTTGGGGTCTGCGACGGTCTTGCTGTACCCTTGTAGGTTAATTCCTCGTGTTCCCGTTTTTTGGTAAGTTTCCCATCACCAGGTTTGATTCCGGTTGCTCCGCCAGAGACAGTGCCGGGCTTCTTGGCCAGCCGTGGATCTTTCTCTTTTGTCTGTGCCTCCATTGCTCGTCTTTTGCGTTCCGCTTTGCTGAGCTTCTCCTTGGCTACCGGTTGATGTTTGAACATGCCCACTTGAGTTGGGGCTTTCGTCTGTAGTTCCTTCGCTTTCATCATGAGATCAGCATACGATCCTTTCGGAGGGGGCTTCGAGGGGATCTGAGGCGGTTTCTGAGTAGCGGTTGCAGTATTTCCGTTCGTAGACTTGACGGAAGACGAAGCGGCGACCGAGCGAGACTTTGAAGTAATAGAAGCATTAACGGGTTTGTTTGCCGTTGGCTTGGTCGATGCTTCAGACTCAGGCTTCTGGGGTCGACGCAACTGATCCTCTGCTTTCCTTTTCACCCCTGCAGCAACATTCCCTTGCCCGGTAGCATTGATACCATGTCCATTAGTAGGCTTGTATGCTTGAGATCTGACATTTGAAGACGACACGGGTGGCGCAGGCGTCTGAACTGGAGGAGGAGCGATGGGAGCTGGTCTACCCGTCTCAATAGACGAGAGAACGGAGTCAAGAAACTGTCAAAGTGTTACACATGTCAGATACTACAACGTGGAGGAAGACTGACACTCATGGTGACCGCTGAGGTACACGAAAGAGCTTCAGCAGCTGAGTCACTGGATAACGAGATAGGAGCACTGATAAGGGTAGGTTCACCGTCGGTGGTTAGTTTGACGGGTTAACTTCATGACTTCATGAGTTGCGAGATTGAGAAAAAGGAGAGGGCTCAAGGAATGAATGTGCGTTGTTTACCCCTCTGTTGCCGATGCAAAACCTAGCACATAGTGATGGTGTCTGAACGAGACAGCAAAGGAGGAGTCGTAACGTTGCTGCCAGACGCCATCCTGTTCTTCTAGAAGCAGCTAGTCACGTGGACGTCTCAGTCACTTGGAAGTTAAATCGGAGACATATGCGCCACAGACACTCGCTTAGCTTAGACGGTTCTGATTGAACTAGCCACACCCACCAGCCGCACCGCACTTTTCTCGATATTTTGATGGTTCAATTCTCTAATTCTTACTTTCTCTAACCACTTCGCTAAATCTCCCAGCGAACTCGACGTCTCAGTCTCCGCCCAACTTGCGGTTAAATCGATTGATTCTCGTGTTCGATATATCTCAATAACATCAGTACGTGCTCTTGGCCTGGTAGATATCCTATCGGCATTACCATTGTCGCATCTCGAACTGTTCTCTAACAGGGCCTTCGCAGATTCAAAATGAAGCACCTCGCCGCTTACCTCCTCCTCGCCCTTGCTGGCAACACCTCCCCGTCCGCTGAGGATGTCAAGGCCGTCCTCTCTTCCGTTGGCATTGACGCCGATGAGGAGCGCCTGAACAAGCTCATTGCTGAGCTCGAGGGCAAGGACCTCCAGGAGGTTAGTACATACAGCTCAAAGATTTACAGACTGAGAATTTTGGACTGGCGCTGACATCGAATTCTACAACAGCTCATCGCCGAGGGTTCCACCAAGCTCGCTTCCGTTCCCTCCGGTGGTGCTGCCGCCGCTGCTCCTGCCGCTGGCGGTGCCGCTGCCGGTGGTGCTGCTGCTCCTGCCGCTGAGGAGAAGAAGGAGGAGGAGAAGGAGGAGTCCGACGAGGACATGGGCTTCGGTCTCTTCGACTAAGCGCGTTCATATATACAAACGCAGCAAAAATCATGAGATTTGGTGGGGGAGCAGAAATCTGGCAGTTATTTTCAGTATGGGGAGTAAACTCGCCCATTGGTGCCGATCAGTCTGTGTGCCTTCAGGCTTTTCGGATGCAGTTACGAGCATGCATATAAGAGCTGGAAAGAGCTTTTAGGCCAATACAGATTTTGTGACCCTCCACTAATTCACGTTCATGTTCGACGTAGACTTGTGCATGTAAGCTCAAGATATCGAAGAGTATAAGTATGAGTAAGTGTTGCGGGAGAAAATAGTTGAATGCGAATCGCAATATCCTATTGTCAAAAAGAGCCACCTCGCAACAAAATTCTCGGATATCAGCTTGTTAATCATACATCTCGAGTCAAATAAGCAAGTCTGAACATTATTCATGTAACGATCTGGATGCCTGAAAAATCAGGACGAAAGCGGAGACTAACTGGGATCCCAACCAGGACTAGTGGCTTAGGGTTTGACCTAGTGCGGTCGCTTAGACGAGCCCTCCAGCCCACCTCGCAACCTGAAGCGTAGGCACAAGACTAGCCCCGACGAAGGTCCTTCAGCGACAAGACACGACACGACAACCATATTCCCTTCGCTTTTCGAGTAACGTTCGGAAAGCGACCTGAGAGGAACATTCGCAAAAATGGCTGACACCGAATACGTGAGTGATATTCCAGGATACAAATGGCCTTCAATACTTGGTTCGAAGGAAGCTAATGTGAAATCTTTGCTTGCAGAACGCCGAGGAGGCTGCCGGTACGTTGTCGCAGGACACCCTTTCTTCCAATCCCTATCATGCCACAGAAGAGCGCGAGGTGTTGTGAGGTTTTTCGTGATGGAATACTGGAAAGAATTGATGAATCGAGATGGACTTGGTGCATAAGAGCGACCGGAGGGATACGGCTACGGACAACACGGACAACCACACACACCAGGGTTAGGATAGACACGCTGACAGACGCTTCTCGCCGAACAGAGATCAAGAAGAGAAGACAATTCCGCAAGTTTACCTACCGCGGAATTGACCTCGACCAGTATGTTCAGCAATCTTTCATCCATCCAACCTTGTCACCGGCCAACCACCTGACTCCGAACGAGCGAGGCCATCAATTGTACCATCTTTGCATGGGTCTTCCTTGTCGGAGTCTGGAGTTGGGATACAGGGACAGATTGGAGAACACATGAAGGAATCATTGTCTGACATGGAATGTGCTACAGGCTCCTCGACCTCTCCTCCGAACAGCTCCGCGATGTCGTGCACGCCCGCGCCCGCCGCAGGTTCAACCGTGGTCTGAAGCGCAAGCCCATGGGCCTGATCAAGAAGCTCCGCAAGGCCAAGCAGGAGGCCAAGCCCAACGAGAAGCCCGACCTCGTCAAGACCCACCTGCGTGACATGATCATTGTCCCCGAGATGATCGGCAGTGTCATCGGTATCTACTCCGGAAAGGAGTTCAACCAGATTGAGGTCAAGCCCGAGATGGTTGGCCACTACCTTGGTGAATTCTCCATCACATAGTATGTTCCCTTGCGTCCCCCTTGCGATATTTTAAACAGTTCTAACAACCATACAGCAAGCCCGTCAAGCACGGTCGTCCCGGTATCGGTGCCACCCACTCTTCTCGTTTCATTCCCCTCAAGTAAAGAAGAAAAGCTTTCTGGAGTGTTGCGTGGAGGATCGGGCGTACGGATGTGCTGGGAGAACAAAAAAGGGATGGATACCATTTGCGTCCATTGGGATTCATCAAACTTGTATGTCAAGTGCGGGTCAGCTGTTTGCATCTCAATATAAAGATCTTGTCGCCATGAAACACGAACGAACCAAAGACCAAGCGGGATCGTCAATCTTATGATGATGAAGTTTTGCCCCTCCGTTCTGCTTCGGCGGAGACGGGAGACTTTCACCTGTTCCTTTCACTGAGGATAGTTAGGAATGGAAGTCTAATTTACGAAGTCGAATTCATCCGTCTATATCTGTAGGCACGCCGTCACCAGTTTTGTAGACATTCGCATAACCGCTCTTGTAGTCACTGCAGCACCTCGTAATTGTTATTGATCTGTCTAGTTGGCCTGCTTTCCATCTGCGTTTGTCTTACAAGTCTTGACGGACACAGTGATCCTCATTCATCTATCCATTTGAGCTTTGACTGAATGTAAAGACTGGGACGAATTCCGACCCAAAACCCAGGGCACTACTAGACTCGATACAATTTCCTCGGTCTCAAGAATCAAGCCCTCTCCTTCTCCAATGCCTCATTAATGATTTTGTCAAGCTCGCTCCACGCTTTGCGCATGGAATGGATCAACTCGCCAGGACTCCGTCTCAAGCCATGGTTGTACATCTGCACCGGCCCCTCTGCAAACGCCCTCCTAATGATTTTCTTCAGCGTCGGCACAGCAGAACTCACTTCGAGTTCATTCATGAGATAAAAGAGAACAGACTGCCAGATCGCCGCGCACACCGCAGATGAATCCTTCTTGCCGCCCAGCGACGGCACCCCCTGCAGCATCACCTCATTGGCGAGCATCGCAAACACCCACGCATGCATCTGTCGAGTCGGGTGCCCCGGTTCGGGATACACAATGGGATCAATAAGCCGGAAGCGGATCGCGGCGTGCACGAATGCCTCGTAAGGTTCGTCCTCTGAAAGAAGACAGGTGATCAGCTCGTCTCGCAGGGCGACCATCGGCTGGCGGGTGATCGGCCACGCAGAGGTTCTGTGTAGGTCCTTCATGGCTCGTTTGATCTCATCGGCGGCCTCTGATGGGCTCAACCGTGAACTACCGACGCGGCTTAACACATTCATTGCGGCGCTCTCGGCAACTTCCAGGACAGAGAGGTCGTGCGGTTCGCCGAGGAAGCGGTCTTCGCGTGTGTTTGTGCCCTTCGCGCACTTGGGACATCGGCATTTGAAGTAGTATCGCTCCGAGAGCTCTGTCTGGCGGGTTTTACACGGGTTCGTAGCGTCGATGTACGATACGAGAATCTCTTCGCCTTTTTGGATTGGGCGAAGGGCTTTGACGTAGAGGGCGTCGCCATCTGAGCCGACGACGGAATTGTAGTCGCAGCTGTGATTAATCAGAGCCGCGTATGGGTGCAGGTAGAACCCCAGACGATCAGCCAAGGGGCTGTGAAAGTTGTACGAGTTTAATTCCAGCTTTGCAACGTAATTAAGTCAGCTCTCCGTCAGAACACGGACACAGAAAAAGAGAAAGGTGCAGCCAAACTCACCTTGGCACCATAGTGACATATCATTTCTTCATCCAGAGCGCATCCAGAGTACTTCTTCACGGCCTTCGCCGTCAGGGATATCCGCTGCCACTGTTCCCAGTTTTGCGCTTGGATCTCTGCCATATGACTCTCCAGTTTGCGGAAGAGCTCCAGCTCCTCCTTTGGATATTTGCCGCGCTCACTGCGCAAGACCATCCGAAGAATAGCCCTGGCATTGCTCGGAAGTACTCGGGGCATCAACTCCTTGTAAACCCGACACTCGAACGAGTGAGCGAACTTCCAGTCTTTCGCTTGGCAGGTCTATGTCCAGTTAGTGTGACGCGAGCTCAGCAAGGATGGAAAAGGTATGTGGTAGGCTCCAGCTAACCTTATTACAATACTTCACGACCCGACACCCCGTACAAGCTTTCAACTCGACGTTGACATCTCTGTTGCAATGATGCTGCCCCAGGCATCCGGAGCAGGTATCCTGCAACCGCTCAGTATCCAAGACTGCCACGAACGGCCTCTGGATGAGCATGACGGTCCCTCCGACCGGGATATCCGTCGCAGCAAAAATCCCTGTTCCGGCGCCCGGCGACGGGGCAGGATAGCCTTTTGTGTAGACTGAAGAAATGGGATTCTCGAATCCCTCTTTCGTGATGTTCTCATTGTCCTGGTTGGGATCCGTGCTGGTGATGGTTTGGTCGAGCAGACGCGCGAGAATATCCTCGTTTAGGATGTCTTCGGGTACTTTGCGGCTGCCCCGCTGTAAGTCCGTTATCGATGCCATTTCTAGGTCGTCTGATGCTCATGACAAGTTGTGGATAGTTCCAGTTACTCAGACTTTACTCCGTAGATCTGAGATCCAAAGGCCATTATGATGGTAGGTCAAATGATTTGGCAAGAAACCTATAGCATTTCTCGGCACCCAATTCTTGTGGTTTCTATTCCGTGATGCTCTGATGATATGTACCGACTTGTAGTTTCTAAGAAACAAGGCAAATATCAGCAAAACAGAATCAACCGGAACCGATATCACGTGTTCTCATTGGGGTACACTGATGAAAGTCATTGAAGTGTTGATATTGAGATAGCCGAAATACTTAAGAATACATACATCTTGAATCATCACATACAGGCCGATCAGGCTAGGTAATGAATGAAAGTAAAATACAGATCAGATTCTTTTCGCTCAAGCACATAGCCTGCCTACTCAAAAAAACCATGTAAATATAACAAAGCCGCAAGAAAGAAGATATGGAACACCGCAGCATGGCCATGATCCTCATGCCAGGTCCAGACCAAGACCACAAATTCTATCAACACGAAGCCGGATCCTCTACGCCAAACAGGACGGGCTTTTTGTTTGCCTGAAAAGAGAACATAAGCCAAACCGATTAGATCTATAAATAGAACATGACTTTTCCCCTTTTTCCATAGTTTTGATGAGATCGTCGATATTCGGATTTACATCAGCTTGTGGCCAGTGAACTCTGACCAGCTCTGGACCTCACGGGGAATGCCGTCGGGACGGGGGAGCTTAGCGTTCATGGCCTGAGCGAAGAGAAGAGCGGTCTAGTATAGACGATTAGTAAACATGACACAGGCGTACTTGGTTAAAGGAAATGAACTGCTACATACCTTGGTCTCCATGAAGAGAGGGACGCCGAAGTCAACCGCGTTACGTCTCATAACATAGTCCTCATCCAGAAGGGTCTTGCCACGGGTCTTGGCAAGGTTGAAGCAACCGCGAATGTCGTACTTCTGGAACACCTCACGGAGAGCTCTCTTGTCCTCCTTCGGGAACTCGATCACCTGCACGGAGACATTGTCCTTAGTAGCGGACTGGAGGTGAGCCTGGACCTCAGGGCTAGCAGCAAAGAACTTGTAGCCGAGAGGGTTGAGGTAGTCAACAATCTGAGCCAAAGCAGGGTTGTTAATGTCACCGCCGAGCAGGATACCCTCGCCGGGCTCGGGCACGCGGAAGTTCATGGTGGACTGGAGAGAAGCCCAGTAGGCCTCAACCAGATCCTTGCCGAAGCAAGCAATCTCACCGGTACTGGCCATCTCGACACCGAGGAAAGGATCGGCACCGGCAAGACGAGTCCAGCTGAACTGGGGCACCTTGGTAGCGAGGTAGTCACGCTTCTCAGTCATGAGATCGACGGGCTCAGGAATATCGCGGCCAACAAGAGCCTTGGTAGCAACGTCGATGAAGTTGGTTCCCAGGACCTTACTGACGAAGGGGAAGGAACGAGAGGCACGAAGGTTGCACTCGATGACCTTCAGCTGGGGCTCAGCACCTTCCTGATCGGCCTTGATGATCTGCATGTTGAAGGGACCGGTGATGTTCCAGGCCTTGGCAACCTTCTCAGCAATCTCCTTGACACGGCCCATGACCTTCTCGTCCAGAGAAGCAGGAGGCAGGACCAGAGTAGCATCACCAGAGTGCACACCAGCGGGCTCAACGTGCTCACTGACGGCGTGCAGAAGGAGCTTGCCGTTGGAGGCAACAGCATCGATATCAATCTCCTGAGCACCCTCAATGAACTTGGTGATGACGACGGGGTGGTCGGGAGAGACAGCACTGGCGTTGAGGAGCTTCTCCTTGAGTTCGTCACCACTGTAGATGACGCTCATGGCAGCACCAGACAAGACGTAACTGGGGCGGACCAAGACGGGGTAACCGACAGACTCGGCGAAGCGCTCAGCCTCGGCAACCGACGTGAGCTCCTTCCAAGCAGGCTGATCCACACCGATGCTGTCCAGGATCTGAGAGAACTTGTGTCTGTCCTCAGCCTTGTCAATGTCCTGAGGATCGGTACCAAGAACGTGGGCACCGCCAGTCTCCTGCAAGCGGAGGGCGATGTTCTGGGGCAGCTGACCACCGACGGACACGACAACACCGCTGGCACTCTCGAGCTCGTAGATATCCATGACACGCTCGTAGCTGAGTTCCTCAAAGTAGAGCTTATCAGCAGTGTCGAAGTCGGTGGAGTATGTCTCAGGGTTGTAGTTGATCATAACAGTCTTCTTGCCCATGCTCCTCAGAGACAGGGTGGCGTTGACCGCACACCAATCGAACTCGACAGAGCTTCCAATACGGTAGACACCGCTTCCGAGAATGATGATGCCGTGGTCATCGAAAGTGACGTCGTGGGAGGTAGCGTTATAGGTGGTGTAGAGGTAGTTGGTATCAGCAGGGAACTCAGCGGCCAGAGTATCGATCTTCTTGACCCAGGGTCTGATGCCGAAGCTCTTTCGGCGAGCGCGAACATCATCCTCGGTGGAACCGACGAGGAGAGCGATCTGCTTGTCAGAGAAACCAAGCTTCTTGGCCTTCAGCATCATCTCCTTCTGGATGCCAAACAGGCTGCCGATCTCCTTGAGTTCATTGTTGCAATCAACAATGTTCTGGAGCTTGTAGAGGAACCACTTGTCGATCTTGGTCAGCTCGTGAACCTTGTCAACTGAATAGTTCTCGTGAAGCATAGCCTGACCAACGGCCAACCAGCGGCGATCAGTGGGGTTCTTCAGGACCTCATCCAGGTTCTCAAACTTGTCACCCTGGAAACCGACGAAGCGAGGATCGACCTGGCGAATAGCCTTCTGGAACGACTCCTCAAAGGTACGACCGATGGCCATGACCTCACCGACAGACTTCATGGCACTGCCAATGTCGCGCTTGACGTGCTGGAACTTGCTCAGATCCCACCGGGGAATCTTGGTGACAATGTAGTCAAGACTAGGCTCGAAGTTGGCGGTAGTGGTCTTGGTAACGGCATTGGGAAGTTCAGGGAGAGTGTGGCCCAGACCGATCTTCGCAGCAGTGTAGGCAAGAGGGTAACCAGTAGCCTTGGAAGCCAGAGCAGACGAACGAGAGAGACGTGCATTGACCTCAATGACACGGTAGTCAAGTCCATCAGGCTGCAGAGCGTACTGCACGTTACATTCACCAACAACACCGAGGTGGCGGACAATCTTGATGGCAGCGGTACGGAGCATGTGGTACTCTTCATCAGAAAGGGTCTGACTGGGAGCAACGACAATACTGTCACCGGTATGGATACCCAGAGGGTCAAAGTTCTCCATGTTGCAGACAGTGATACAGTTGTTGGCAGCATCACGGACGACTTCGTACTCGACCTCCTTCCAGCCCTTGAGGGACTTCTCGACCAGGATCTGGGGAGCAAGAGTCAGGGAACGAGAAGCCAAATTCTTCAGCTCCTCAGGGTTCTCAGCGAAACCGGAACCCAGACCTCCGAGAGCGTAAGCCGAACGGACAATGATAGGGTAGCCAACTGTTTCAGCGGCCTTCAGTGCCTCGTCAACAGTGTTGACGGCGATGGACTCGGCAATGGGGATGTTGATCTCCTTCAGAGCCTGGGCGAACAGGTCACGGTCCTCACTAGTCTCGAGGGTCTTGATGCTTGTTCCCAGGACTCTGACACCGTAGCGTTCAAAGATGCCCATGCGGTTCATCTGTACACCAAGGTTCAGGGCGGTCTGACCACCGAACGACAGGAAGATGCCGTCGGGGCGTTCTCGCTCAATGACGTGAGTCACATATTCGGGGGTAACGGGGAGATAGTACACTTCATCGGCGAGCTTGTGATCGGTTTGGATAGTCGCGATGTTGGGGTTGATCAAAACGGACTTGACACCGGCCTCCTTGAGAGCCTTGAGGGCCTGAGAACCTGTAATTATTAAGAATGTAATGTTAGTCACTCAATCCTCATTGCTGAACGGCTTTTCTGGCCCTTTTTGTTCTTTTTCTTTTCGTTCCCGTCCATGATGGCATTTCTCTTGCAGCGGAATCCACATCAATGCTGCTTTTGAATACCACGCGCAGAAATACGAGCCAAATTGCAACGCGAGCCAAGTGATTTGCGAGTCGCATGACCTACCAGAATAGTCGAACTCTCCAGCCTGTCCAATACTCAAACCACCACTACCGATGACAAGAACCTTCTTGACATCGACCAGATTGCTACCGGGCTTGACAACTCCGCTGGCGAGGTAGCTGTCGGCAGAGGGGGGGTTGTTTGCCTGCGAGGCCAAGCGACGAAGGGCACTGGAGAAGGAACGGAGCTGCTGGGATCGCAATGGCGACACAACCTTCTGCTGCAACCGCAGACTCGACGCCGTCGACCGGGCCGTAGACTGAGCGGAGAAGGGGCGCAAAGCGAAAGCGGAACGACGGGTTTCAGTCAGACATCGCTGACGCAAAAGGGAGGACGTAGCCTGCCCGCAACGAGCGGCGAGGACCATTGCGCACTGCGCTAAGGGAAAGATAATAGATATAGAAGACTATTTAGTGCAATAAGCGAGTCAATTGACCACCAAGGCGATGACTCTTATTCTGTAATCCCTACTCTCCCGCTTTGTGTCACACACCCAATAGACAGGGGAGGACTAAAGAGGAATAGGAAGAACTGGTGGCCTTGGGCCTGACGTACAGGAAGCAATCTAGGAGGAATTGGAGAAAACAAGAAGGAGAAGAGAGGAGAGAAGAGAATACGGAGGGAGATAAATTGGATGACACTTAGAGGAGTAGGTAGGGTATGAGTCAATGCGGTTTTCTGGAGACGGACAGAGAATCGGCATCGGTCCCAGAGGATTGACCAGAATCTCCCGCCAAAAAGGTACAAATCCCAGAGGTAAATCCGTGGGACTAATGATAAGAGCTCCGGTGTGCGGAGGCCTTTTTTTTTTTTTTTTTTTTTTTCCCCTTTTCTCTACTCTTTTTCCTCTGCGATTTTTCCTCCGTTGGTTCTTGCCCTGCCAATTTTGCGGATTTGGTGCTCACCGCCTACAATTACCACCAATCAAATTATGGCTCAGTGGATGCGGTGGGATTGTTTGCGCATGGAGACCATCATCGCAGTTCCCACCCTTGGCCTTTTCGCGGTTCCTCAGTGGTGGTACGTAGGTAGTATTATTGAGCCCTCAATAAATCGCTATGGATTTATCACAAACGCCACCAATGACGGTCGGTTGTCTCTGACCATTTAATAAATCTCTTTTGGGGAATAGTACCGTTCCCACCAGAGTCTTAGTGTTGCAAAGTAACTTACCTACCTTCAGGACGATCCCAATTGGTATTCCCCTTCTGGTGGCTGGCTCAAGTAGGAGTTCTGTGTAGTCTCGCTGTGCGCACTATCAAGTCCCATCATCACCCTTAGGGCGAATCCTCTCCACAAGTCTGGTGGATGCCGGATCGTCATTGTCTCAATATTCTCATAAGAGTCATTGTCCTGCATCCGGACTCTAGAATCCTGACTACTACAAGGTGAATTGGTTCAATTCCTTGTCCAAGATAACGACAGGGTCTTTTCCTGGAAACATATGCTGACCATCTATCTCTCAATCGATGTACTGCGAACTCAAGGTAGGCTATTCTTGCATCGACTGTTGTTACCCTTCACAAACCACTTCCTTGAAAATTTTCATGGATGGCCGATCAATACTGTTCCAGGAGTCCAGTTCACGTCCGCTTCCTTGCTACTGGCAGCTTGGCATGAAATTTCGGAAATCGGAGGGTCCTCACGTTCCAATCCTGGATAGAGGAGCTGGATGACCAACTTGACTGGCTCTTCTGGGCTACCCTTCCGAGCCGATATCATAACTTTATTTGCAAATCATATTTTTATTCCCAAGGAAAATGCGCCATCAAGAAAAATTGAGGTTCAGAGCGTGATATCATAACACTTTAGATATATACATCAAATGGAAACATAGCAATCCGGTGTGTGTAGCGCTTCCTTCATGCAATCACTCAGTGATACCCAATTGTCCATTAAGCTTGGCCCATGGACCTCTGGGTTGCTTTTGTGACCTGGTGCCCCTCGTGCGAGACCAGGTCGAACGAGCCTCAGACGCCCAGATGTCATTCAAGTCCTCTTCTGATGACTGCGGATCTCGCAAGGTCTCCTCGAGGTCCTGATTCAACATGTTGTACACCTCCTGCAGTACATGCTCTGCGTCCGTAGCCGCCTCCTGGCCCTCTACCAGCCTCTCCTCGACGTACTGGTGTTCGTTCGTCGCTGCCGCTTCCGATGCGAAGGCCCATGATTCAGCTAAGGAAACAACTTCGTCGGGTTTCGGCAACCCAGTCGCGCTCGTCGCATGCCTCGAACTGATGTGCTTGAAACGGGGTTGAAGAGTCAAGAGAGGGTACTCCGGAAGAAGGTGACTCTCATCGCTCAAGCGATTCAGAATACGGAGAGTCATAGACCTTTGCTTGGTCAGCAACCCCGATAAGTAGTTCTTCTGCAGAGCCAATGCTCGCTGGGCCTTAGATAGTGGAAGAATATTCTCGCTTGTAAAAGACAGAACCTCCAGCGGGTCCAGTGAAGATCGATCCCCAATCGCGAGCTTCCCTAAGTCGACCGATTGGCGTGACGGCTTCGTAGATGGCATTGTCAGAGGCTGACAGGCCCGAGAAGCAGCATCCAACAATCGCTTACGTGCTTCCACGTAGGCAATATACTGTGCCGCAATTTCTGCCTTTTGGTCTTCGACCGACCGAGTGGACTCCTCGATCTCCTCGGGAGAAAGATCGTGCACAGGAGCATCGTCTGCGTTACCCACGCTCACTAATTTCTCTTCAACCCATTGCACCAGCTCATCCCGCGTCCGCTGCAATGCCGCAACTTTGACTGCCGGAGGTACATCTGTACTGTCTGACGCAAGCTGCGACTTCAAACCGTCCAAGAGACTTCTCTCTCGGTCCAGTTGAGCCTTGGCACGGATCACGGCCCTTTCCAGTTTATGTACCAAGCCTTCAATTCCATCGTCTGCGCCACGTCCCGTCGGTTTGCATTCCTCCTCGGTCTCCTCCAAAGACACGATTTGCTGGCCTTGGCTCGCTCGGTCACCGATGCGCTCAGAGATATCCGAGTCTCGTTCTTTGAGTTCATGTAGATAGTGCTGAAAGACCTGCAACTTCGCATGCCGACGGCGATCACGCAGCAGTCGGAGGTATGTCTGTAGTTCTGAACTGGGGTCGATAGACGGGGACTCGGTCTTTGAGCCTTTTGTTCTCTCTTTCGCCGACGCAATTTTCTCGGTCAATGAATGATACTCCTTCCGCGCGGCCAGATTCGCCTGGAGTGCTTGCAAGTATTCCCTCCTCAGCCCGGCCAACTCTGCCGGGATTCGCTTGACATTGACCGCAGCATCTTGCGGTACGCTAAGGGAAAGATGAGATTGGGAATGACAATTGGGATTTTCGGAGTCATCCTCTGCAAAATCTATCTGCGAACGAAGGTAGTAGGTCAAAGCCTGTCGGATGCGGAGCGCTTCCTGGCGAGTTCTGATGTAGGGAGCCAACGGCCTGGCAAAAGGAGGAACATCGGTCGGGATATCAGCTTCAGATCGATCAGCCATGACGAGTGATTCGCTCAGGAGCTACAGGCGAACTCTGACGTCAACCTAGAATTTCCATGGATTGTTGAATAGCAAAGCCGATCCTCCTTGCGATCTTCTGACTTACTTGTTTTCTGCCCAATTACTCGCATCTTCAATTGTTGTTTTGTTTTGTTTTGTTGTTGCTGAAGGTTGTAGATCCTGTTACGTAAGCAGATACATACTCTTTTCCTATGAGCAGAAGCTTTCCTCGCTGCTATAAAACATATGAACTTGAGAAGGGACTTTAATTGATCTATGAGTATAAGATTGCACACTCTTTGTGAGGTGGTTCATACTGATTTTCCTTGATTTGAGCACAATCCTCTGTAGCTCATTGTATGGCAGTGCACTCCTCCGTCCCAGGTATATAGACCACAGAAGTAAGGGATATATTCGATTATCTAGGTACCCTCACAGCCATCTAAACGATCAGACGCGTCCAGGGATCGATCCAAAATACAATCTTCTCTTAGGTGTGGAGAGCTTGAGAAGGACTCAGACCGTCGATGATCACTCATGTGTCCCATCTTGACGCATTGTATACATTTTCAGAGGCGGAGAATATATTGTCGACAGATTGGTCAAAATGCTTCAGCACAATTGCTGAAGTCAGCCAGTCACTCTTAGCAGGAAGCTTCTGACCATATCATGTCTGGCAAATGAGATGTCATTATGCCGATGGATAGTTCTCTGCGAACACTTCGGAATGTACAACGATCTGACAAGGATACAATGGGAGATGACACCTCAACCATGTACTCTCGCTTCGACTGGCTAGGCACAGCGTTCAGACTCCTGGGGAAAGTTGGCATACTGGTCTACTTGCAATGTCCACACCGTCTCTTTTTCGACGATCATAGGTCCTATCATTGTTTGAGACTTAGCCGTCTCTTTGTAGTCGCTTCAGACATCAAGTACAGGTACCACTATGAAGCTGACCGCATTGACCTACAGAAATGCAGTCTATGAATGCTGATTAACCCCGAATGTGAACGGACACCCTTTATCATCCGTGAATTATGAAGCTCCACAGTCTCGCAGGCAAAATTGGCGACACTCACCATATCTGGTATGTTTGAGCTCATTCTTCTGGAACTTCAATCAAGGGGCTGCCTTGCGTCCAGGCTTTCAGCGTCCTCGCTTCGAAGCCCCTCTTGACCCTCCATCTTCGTTCTTCTAGTTTACTTTTCTCAGCTCCTTTCCGCAGGGGTTTCGAATATTACTGCGACTTGCCACCTCTATATAGCTCCCAAAAGCTCTCTGCTTCAACTGACAGCCCTTCATTAGAGATACATGTGTCCAGGAAACAAGGATGCCTGCAGATCCGAGTCCTGTTCCTACCTCTTCCCCAACTTCTCGCCGCCGTGCCGCAACTGCAATGCAGCCGTCCACAACCCCGGCCGTCATCTTTCGACGACCATCGCAGGGAACGGGAACCCCCGGCATCTCTCTTCCCCAGACAACATATGAAGGAAGTCCAATGCCAGGGGCGGGAGAAAACGGTGGTGCAGGAGTAGTGTCACGTAAGAAACTGGCTGGACCTGCTCCAAAGAAAGCATGACACTGAGATTTGGCAAGCTCCGCTGCGACATCCAAAGCCCCTTACGCCATCCGATCTCCACTCCTTGGTTGAGCGAGAGCAAGAAGCGATGGTAAAGTATTGACGTTCTCAAACAACGCTGCACCTTTCTGACACCATGGGCTTGTTGGCAGGTAAACCGGCTTTCCAGAGAGCTGTCTATGCTACGCCAGCAAACCGCCTCTGTTGCATCGACCACCTCCTCCACTTCAACCACGCTCAACGATTCCTTGGACGGATATCACAGTACACCGTACTTAGTTAGCTCAGCACATCCGACGGCGTCGCGGCGACATCGCTCATCATCGAGTCTAAGCTCGTCTTATGTCCCAGTAGTTCAAGGATCGAGAACAGGAAATGGGCCTGCAATTGCACGATCTCGGGAGCCTAGTTTGTCATTCCCATCGGCACGTCCAAACGACCTTTCAAAGCCCGCTCGTGCCTTGTCGACCACATCGCGGCAGCCGGATCAAGTCCTGCCATCCTTGGCTGCATTGATACAACCGCAACCACAACAACAGGGCGAGAATGTGCCAAGCAACGTCCCCGGACCGCAGAATGCCCGTCAGAGGTCTTTCTCCCCGCAACAAGTGCCAGCCTCCGGCAATCCGCCTCGTCAGGAAACACTGGTCCAACGAGGAGAGTTGGAAGCTATGAAGCGAGAAAACGAGGCTCTGCGTCGTCGCATACGGGACCTCGAGCTTGTTGTTAAGAAATATCGAGAACGCGAAGTCGCCTCTCCAGAACAGCCAACAAACGACCATGAGACGACACTGAAATTGGGAAAACTGTCCATCTCCTCGAGGGACGACGCGAAGGATGGTCCTTGATTAGCCTTAGAATTAGCTAGCATGCATCTTGGATAATCAATATATCAACGAATGTCGGCTTCATAACCATCTGATTCTCCAACCATTTCTTCTTCTGCTTGATTCTGCCAGCTTTACTGCACTAATTGACAAATTGCAAGTTATCCATCTATTTTCATCGCCTTTTCACATGCGCGATCAAAGCTACTCCACAGTGGCGGTGCATGCAGCCCCTCACAACGTCATATGTGGCGCAATCATGGGCTAGGCTGCACGCCAAAATAAATACACCTGTTATCGTCCTGCACTTTCACATTCGATCATCCTACAGGTTTCTGTGAAACATTCTGATTCCTTATCTACTCAAGCACATACTTTCATATTTATCTCGAAATATCACTCAAATCAAAATGACAGAACGCAGCACTGTCCATGTGTCGGGAATCTCATCCGCCACCACTGATAAGGAGGTCAAGGACTTCTTCAGCTTCTGGTATGAGACGGCTGCTCACCGCGACCTTTTGACTAGCTTGCTAATATTTTCTATCTACTAATAGCGGAAAGATTACTTCGATCTCTGTGACTCCAGTTTCTGGTGAGAAGGATGCGACCAAGTCTGCAACGGTGACGTTTGAGAAAGAAGCGTAAGCCTACCCCGCACTGTCCACGCCATCGAAACTTGGTCACGCCATACATTTTTTTTTCATTTTTTTTTTTTTTTATCTGCGAGATGGAGCTGGAACTCGAACTAACGATCCTCTAGAGCAGCAAAGACCGCCTTGCTCCTCGATCAAACCCAATTGGGTCCCTCCACAGTGCATGTTACCGCCGCTCACACCATTGACGACATCGCCGGAGACCATGTGGCCACAGCCGGGGAGGCCAAGGACGAGAATAGCCAGGATCTCGAGCAAGAGGACAAGCCCAAGTCCCGGATTGTCGCAGAGTACCTTGCCCACGGCTACGTGATCAGCGACAACGCCATCCAGAAGGCCATCGCCCTGGACAAGAAGCACGGCTTTTCCTCCCGCTTCACATCGGCCCTGACCAACTTCGACCAGAAGTACCATGCCACCGATCGTGCCAAGGGGATTGATGAAAACTACAAGATCACCGACAAGGCGGCCAGTGGCTGGCGCGGTCTTCACTCGTACTTTGAGAAGGCTTTGGATACCCCATCTGGCAGGAAGCTCCGCGAGTTCTACGTGCAGACCGACAAGCAGGTGCGCGACATCCACAACGAGGCCCGCAGACTCGCAGACTTGAAGAGTGGAAAGCAGACAGAGGATGCTCCTGCTGCGGCTGGTGCAGAGGCTGCCAACGTTGCTCCTAGCGCTGCGCCGACATCGCAACCGGCGGGTGCTGCAGCCCCCGCTGAGCCCAAGGCGTGATTAGGGATTTAGTGATTAAGCAAATCATGATTTATTTCTGTATTGCTCGCAGGCCTATGTTTCAATTGTTCTTATTGAAATTCCCCAGTATCTAGTGTTTCTTGGCAATTCATGACCAATAATTCATCGGAAGTTTTTCAATCGCAGTCACTACCACCTTCTGTACTTAATTACCATGTACACAACCAAATATCCCTCCCAGGAGGAGAACAAAAGGAGAATACTCATTCAATAATCGTAGGTTTCATTCACACATCAAGTGGATTCTAAAAATACATCATAAAAATCGAATCACCCCTTCCGCCTATCAATGTACCTTCGAGTACTTTGCCGCCTCAATATCCTCAAGCGGATGCTTGGGGTTACTCTCCAGCTTCGACTCCTTGGTCTCATTCGACTCACGCTGCGAATGCTGTGGGTCGCCACGAAGCTCGGGCTGTGTCTTTCCCGCCGAGGGGGGATCCTGCTGCTGGGCGCCGGACTGGGTTTCAGGAGGAGGGGACTGACGGCCAGAGTTTTGGGCGGACATTTTGCTCTAAAGTTATATAAGTTGGGATCAATTAGTGGGAGGGGTAGAGGACTTACAATCTGCTTTTTCCCTCTTTTTTTTTTTGTGGAGGGATTGTGATATGTCAATGGTAGGTACGTATCAAACTGCAATGGAGTGTGGTTTGATGGTTTGATGGTTTGATGGGTTTTTGATGATGCGAGGGATGTCTGCAAGATACCTACCTAGGCTTTTAAGTGTAGACGACTTGCGCTAAAATGTTGTGAAGAGCTGGAGACAGGGTCGCCTTGTTGGGATTCATCATCATGACGTCTGGGATGGGGCCCACTGTTATCATCAACTTGTCGCTGGAGGTACTTCTGCTAGTACGAGGGCTACTGTGTACACGAAACACATACTAAGTTATAAGAAATAGATAGACAATGATACGCAGTCGTCAGTCCATGCTGCAGTTGAAATGAATGACGGGCCACCATCAATTCTGGATGCATCGTTGACCACTTGACTCTGTCTACATTGTACCTCTACCACGCATGATTTCAGATATGGCGTCATAGGTCTGTTGGTTTGTGCTGTTTGCACTTTCTATCACGTGACTTTAATGAGTAACGTACTGTGATGACCAGTCACCTTCCTTTTTCGGCTCCGCTCGCCTCTTGAGCTTTGTGCTTCAACTGACCGCTTACTACTTCAGGCAGTTTGACCTGTTTGCACCACCACTCCGGGAGACTGATATCATTTCTCTTTTTGTACTCCGTACATATTTCTTCTTCCTCTCTAGACTTAGTATTCCAATCAAATGCTACCTTTTCGTTTGATTTGCTGAGAGAACGTGATAAATCATAGGTAGAATGCATCTTATTTCGCTCATGCCCAAGCATAAATGAGCCTAAGCCAAATGCTAGGATTAATGGGGTAATCTGATTCTGTGCAGTACATGGATGCAGGGGAAATGGAACCAAATCACAATACAATGGTGGGACTTTTTGTGTAGAGAGATCGTGACGACAATTATAGACGAACCAAGATGACCATGACAGCATCCAGACAAAGAAAAGGAAAACGATCTAAATAACAAAAAAAATGGGGCGAGGAAAAACGAGCACATGCGGCGTGAGAGCCCTATTCAATCCAGGCGCCTGCTTGAAAACAGCCAAAGCCCAAGAGCTATCGCCATGGCATGTTCTTATATCATCAAATGTGGAAGATTCAGCAATCTCGACTGGTTCATTTCGTCGACGGACTGAACATCTCTTCTTTCTATTTTTTATTCTTGATTCTGCTTGCAAGTCGTGTCTCATTGGGTGCCGTTAGCCTGAACTCCAGCAGCGGCAGCCTCCGCGTTAGCTGCTGCCATGGCCTTGGCATCAGCCTCGTGGAAGACGGCCTGGATGATCTGCTGTTCTTCAGGACTCAAAATCTTCGTGAGATTCTCATAAAGCTGTGGCTGTTCCTGTTGAAGGCCTGGTAGGGAGTTAGCCAAAGCGCACCAAACTACATCAGGGGAAGCCAACATACCCATGAACACATGCTTGAACATTCCGTACGGCTCAATCTTGTCCAGTGGCGTCTCAAGCAGACTTTCCTCATCCAGCTCGTCATCATCGTCGTCAGCAAAGGAGCCGAACTTCTGTGCCTGGAGAATACGGTTAGTGTGAATTTCTCAAAACCAAATCCACGATGCGACTCACCTCCTGGTTCAAGAAATCAAGGTAGGCGGCACTCTCGTCAGGCACGTCGCCCTCGGCTGCTCCCTCGAGCTCGTCCCCTTCGGTCCACTCGACCTCGCCATCCCAGTCATTCTCCTCGTCATCCTCTTCACCTTCGTCATCGTATGTGAAGTCGGACTCTTTCGTGGCGTCCTCGCGACCTTTCAAAAGCTTAGTAAGATTCAGCTGGTACAAAAAAGTAGGGTACTTACTCTTGATTGCTGCAGGCAGGGTCTGGAAGAGTCTGGTGACTCCCTGAAGAAGTCTAGGCCAACCTTGCTGCACACTGGCAGGAACGTCTCCAGCCTTCAGAGTGAGCAGAGAGCTGATCGCTGCAATCGACAGCTTCTTGTCGTGAACACGTCTGAAGTTGTCAATGTTGGAGAACCACGTGCTGAAGAACTTGTTCGTCCAGCCCTTGGATTCCAGCACTTGCAGACTGAGGACAGGATTGTAGTAAATGGCGTTGATTACCATTTCCATCAGGTGAAGACGGTAGGACTTCGTCCTAGCCTCCCCGGCCTCAATGACGCGCATTGGGAGCTCAATGAAGAGAGGGATGTACTGGTCAATATAGCCGCGCAGATTCAACATCACGGTCTCTGCGAGTTTGCACCCACATATCCGGTCGACACCGCCGACCTTCTCGTCCCTGAAGATATCCTCGACCATGCCAACGACCGCCGCAAGGTACGCAGGATTCTGAACCAGCATTTCTGAGCCATAGGCGACGTAGTTATCAAGGGCAGGCAGCATATCTTCCAGATACAACTCGGCACCTGCTTTGAAGGTCTTGTGAATGAGCTCGAAAGCCTGCCACATTGTAGGTGAGATGGATTTCGAGGCGAAGGTGCAGCTGTCAATGATCTCAAAGACCTCGTTGTAGAGGTCGTAAAGCTTGTTCTCAAGCGTGATGCTGATAACAGGCATGAGAATCGTCTCAAGATGCAGGAGCACATCAGGAGTGCTCTCCAGAGTCAATATGAGCGTTCCGATGGTCTGCAGTACACCCAAAGCAGTGATGCTCTTATCGTCCAAAAAGTCTCCATATGTGTCCTCTTCGCCCTTGGCAGCATTTCGCTCCAGCAATTCGCCAACGATACGCATGTACGTATCACGGAGTTGTTCGCTAAGAGCCACAGCAAACGGCGTCAGTTCAGCTGAGAAAACTTCGACAAAGTCCTCCATGACATTGGCCAGAGCGTCCACGTCAACCTCGTTGGCGAGCTTGAGAAGCTGCTGCATGATCTGGGGAATGTTCTGCTGCATCGACGTTCTGATAATGTCATGACGAATGAGAGGCTGCAGAGCAAGAGCGGCCTCCACTCGGACGGGCAGTTCAGGATCGGTCATCGATTCCAATATATTCCGGTAGATGATCATGAGGTTGTTAGGGTCCTGGAAATCGAGCTGTTCGAATTTCTCAAGAGTGTCGCAGGCGCGAGCTCTGAGGAAGCCATGAGGACTGCGGAATTCGGGGAAAACGTGACGAACGAAGAAGTATTCAACCTGATTAGCGATGGGGCTCTTCTTGCCCAAGATGACAGAGGCCAGTGAACCGATCATGCGAAGAGCACCTTCCTTCTCTCGGGGTAGCTTCTGATCGTCCGGAGCAGATTCATACTTGCTGACGACGCTGTTGACGAACGTAAGGATCGAGAAAGTCTGCTTCTTCCGGTTCTTCGTGAGCGCGACCAAGAAATTCGTGGCCGCAACATCTGGCGCCGAAACTTCTTCGTAAAAGTTCAACTTCCGGTGGAGATATTCCGAGGGGTCGGTTTCGAACAGCTCAATATCCTCGTCTGATTGGCACATGATCGGGAATATGAAGTGAGCGATCAAGTTGTCCATGTGCGGCTTCAGGTGCTCCCACATCGCCTTAGGCTTGACACACTCTTCCAGGAAGATCAAGGTGTAGGCAAGAGCAGGGTTGCTGAGCCACTGTCCCTTTGACACCCACTTGTCAATCTCCTGCAAATATCCCTTGAGAATCTCCGGAGCGAAAGTGCTGATGAACGTCTTCGCATATTGGGAGTAATCCGGGGTGCTAGACTTGGTCATTGTGGTGGGATTTCCGTATCTAGGATATCTGTGAATAAATTGTTCGCCGTCAAACGCAGAAGGGAGAAACATCTACTCACCTGATGAACAGACGGTTCAAATTGGCATAGGACCATTTCTTGCACTTCCACCAATGATTGAGTTCCCTCTCTTCCTTGGATTCCATCATGGAGTTGGCAGGAGGCTGCTTGGCAATGATTCTCAGGAAGAGTGTGCACCAGTCGACAGTCGCTTGGTGGGTTTGAAGATGAGGCGAAAGTTCGAACTATGATCACCAACAGTCAGCCCTTACCCCCTTTCCCGCAGCAGTTGCATCTGATTCCCGGGCCACCCACATAAATAGCATGTTTGTAGGACTTGACAACAATCCGGAGCATCTCAGCTGCCTCCAGGCTTTCCTCGTCGACCAATTTCAACCCAATGTTCAGGAGCTGGGGAAATGAGTGCTCGACAATCTTGTCGAATTCCTCCCTCTTCTCTCCAGCCTTGAATCTGTAGACGCGGCAGATGGCCAGCAGACATTGTAGACCAGCGTAGACGGAGTTCGCATCGTTGGTGCCCAGCAACTGAAGCGTAATATCCAGAAAACCCGGCCACTGCTCAGGGAAATCATGCTGAAGGATCTTTTGGAGGAGAGGAACAAGCTGTGCGCGGACATTGGGAGGCGTCGATGCGAGCGCTGGGATTAGCCTCTCTCGGAAGCCGGGCTTTTCAGCCTCTGGAATCGGTGCGCGCAGGGGGCTGTCTTCGACGGGCGACCATCCGCGGTTGATTCTGTTCTTCAGGTAGACACCGGCTGCAAGTAATTATTCATCATCAGTTAAGTCCAGAGAAAAGGCCGAATATTCCATCGATCTTCAGGGGTCCGAAGAAGAAGAAAAAAAAAAAAAATATCTCGGACATCCAGCGGGGTCAACATACCCGAAAGTTGAACAGCATTGTTCTGCTCCCCCTGCAAAATATCCAGAAGCGCATTTATGAAGCCGGGTTGTGTCTCAGCCTAGATAATGACCAGTATTAGATTTATGTCGGAAGAAATTCCACTGTCAACCCTCATTCCAGAGTCCTCTCCCCACATACATATTTTAAATCCAATTCAGCTTGGCGTCGATTATCCGCATTTGCGTCGAGAGTAGACTGAATGCGGTCTCGGAGAGCTGCAACATCCATCTCGCACCAACAACAGACCCCTGGAAACAAAAATCAAAAACTCCGAATAGAAGAAGCCCCGTCACGAGGTGGTGAACCCGAAAGGAAGATGGGGGCGGAAGGAAGAGAGGAGAAGAGGAGAGGGGAGGAGAGGGAAAGGAGATAAGTAGCGGATATTAGACAGTGGTAGAGAAGGATAGGGTGCAGATTATTTTCCCTTTAGTTAGTCCAGTAGTGGTAATCACAGGAAAAGGGCAGAACAGAGCAAAAGCACAGACTACTAGGACTGGGCCACAAGAAGAAAACATTCAGTGGTTAAAGTTGGGTTTGCTTTTCATGAATTTTGTGCCCGCCCCGCGCCTATCGCAATCGCAGCTAATCAGAATGCTCGCCGCCTCGCGCGGTCAGAGAATTTTCTCCCGAATTACCTCCATGGTTCCTGGACTACTAATGCTTCACAAATTATAAAAGATCCTTATTGTATGGAGCAGACTGAGTGCATCATTGTTATATGCTCTCCCTAAACAGGTTTATTAGAGATCGGGTGATTGTTTTCATCCTCACATGGTTATCATTATATTTGCTTACCAATATCATGCAATTCGTTCTACTCTAGCGTAATGAGAAAAGAAGTAAAGAAAGTATGCTACATGTACAAAGATGCTGCAAAGATGACATCGCGTTTGATCAGCTCCTGCGCCTGTTGCATCTTCGCGTACAACGTCGGATCTCCAACCAGCTTCGCCGCGTTCCTCACTTCGCGACAAGTCTCATCTAGTCGAGTAATCGTCCGAACAATGGTACCTTCCATCACATCCGTCAAGTCTGTGATGCGGTTGAAGGACATGCCCTTGGCCCATTCGTAAACTACCTCTGCCAGACCAAAGCGGGGCTGGCTGGCGAAGTCGTTGCTGTCCTCGCTAGACTGAATGACCTGGTATTGGATTTGGAGGTCGTTCACCTTCTCAGCGATCCGAATAATCGCCTCCTTGCCCTTCTCCAGACGAGGGGTCAAAGTAGGAACGTTCTCTGTCTTCTCCTGGAAGACAAATGCGGACAAGAGCGCAACAATCTCTTCAGGCTCGTACTCGGCCAGGACGTTCTCCAGAATCAATTCCGTCAGCACCAGCTCATCAGCCGAGTGAATCTGTCCGTAGATATTAGCTCTGCCCGTCCAGCCTCAAGGAAGATTGGATGACTCACCTCACATGCGACTTTGCCCTTCAGTTGAACTCGAGATTGCTCATCAATGAACCCTAGGTCTCTTAGCACTTGGATGCGCTGCTCGTAGTCCGGTAGTAGTTGCAGGTTTTGGTCCGACATGAGCTGTTTTAGCTGAGAGATATTCTCCTTCACCTGCCATTCATCGTGCTGCATCTCAAACTGCCCGAAGTCAGTAACAATGTAGTTTACGAGGAACCGGTTATACAGGCGATGGCAACTCACGTGCTTCAAGAAAGACGGGCACTGTAAGCAACGGCAAGATTGAGTGATAGCTGCCTGTGCTTGCCGTTTTTCTAGTATGTCCCGCACTTGTAGCTCTTTGATCCGAGCCCAGTCCATCTCATCCCAGACAGGGCTAGTCCAGGAAGCGCAAAGTTCCGAAAGCTGCTTGTCCGCGAATTTAATCGCCTCTGTGTGTTTCGAATTAGCTTATGCTACAGTGATGGGCACAAAGTTCAAACCAAACCTTTCTTGATATTCAGGTACCATGTTGGACCACCCACTTTCACCATCGTGTTGGTAACACACTCTAGGTCTGAAAGAGGAATCTTGCAAACTTTCAGCGTCATGTCGGCAGCACGAGTCGGCAGAGGGTGCAACAAGTGTCGGAATCTTGGAAGGAAGGGCAAAATGTCGCTTGGATGCCGTCTGTGGCTCAATTTGCCGATCTCAAGGACCTGTATGCTAGGAGTGGCACCTCCTCCAACACCTTCTCTAACAATGATACCCGCAGTTCGGAAACCATCCTATGAAAAGTTCAGTAAATCTGAGAACAGAACGTAATAACATCCACCGTCCGACCAACCTTTCGATACACAACAAGCCGCTTTGGCATGAAGAGACGCTTCCCGACAGGAGAGGCAAGTAGACCAACGTGAAGTTCGCTCGTTAACTTCTCATACTCGATAGCTGCATCATGGCAGGCTACCAGGTCAATATCGCAGATATCGCAAGGTTCCCGTTTTATCTTCGCCAGACTTGCTTCAGAAAGCTGGACCTGTTTCTCATGCTCCGGCAGCAGAGCCTGAGTGGCATTCTCACTGAAACTTCGCTTGATCATCTCTTCGATCTTCAGAGCTTCCACACGCAAGAGGTTCAAAATCATATTGTAAGTGAGTCTGAACTGAGACCGGAGTTTTGTCGGGTCACCAAGGATCATCTTCCTCAAAGCACCCGCAGGAGGTGCCTCGTCTCTACCAGCGCTCACGATGATGACGTATCCAACAGTGTCAAGACCTCTCCGTCCAGCACGTCCTGCCATCTGAGTATACTCGCCTGGCAAGAGATCTCTAAAGCCCCTACCGTCGTGCTTGCGGAATCCAGAGAAAACGACCGTCCGTGTGGGCAGATTGAGACCCATTGCAAACGTCTCGGTAGCGAAAAGAATCTTGACCAACGATTTTGCGAACAAAATTTCCACAATTTCTTTCATGATTGGCAGAAGACCACCATGGTGAACAGCGATACCTCTGCTTAGCAGCTCCCGCAGCCGAAGAATTTGTGGCAGAGTTCTGTCTTCTGGCTTGAGTCGTGTCAGGGACTTCTCGATGAACATATGAATCAAACTCTTCTCGGAAGCATTGCAGAAATCTTGATTGGAGAGTGAGTCTGCATTCTCTTCACACCTCTTTTTCGAGAAAACAAAGATGCAGCCTGGAAGCAAGTTCTCTTTTCGGAGGTGCCCCACGAGCTGTACCCAGATTGTCTTATCCTGAGCAGCCGTTGTGCGTCCTCCACCCCGTCCCGTACGGGCGATATTGCCAGTGCCCCTGTTAGCTGGTTGGCCTCTGCCGCGAGGAGCACCGCCCCGCTGAGCGTTTCCACGAGGAGCTCCTCTACCAGCAGGCTGCCCACGTCCTCTGCCTTGCTGTCCTCCGCGCTGTGCTTGAGACTGAGCTTGAGCTTCGGCGGCCTTTTGTGCTTTTAATTTGTCTCTGCCGGAAATGATGTTGTCTGCTTCTTTCCAGCCAGTCTCGAGAAAGCGCTTGTTCGAGTCGACAATCTTGTACTTGTCTTTACCTGCCCAGAGATAGTGCTCCAGTGGGACGGGACGTTTGGCGGTCGATATGACGTAGATATCCTTCTTCTTCGTACGACCAACCCAGGAGGCAAATTCATATGTATTGGGGACTGTAGCAGAGAGCAGGATGAGAGTGACATGCTCCGGAAGCATGATGATGACTTCCTCCCAAACAACACCTCGCTCGAGATCATTTACATAGTGCACCTCGTCAAAGATCACAAATTCAACATCTCTGATCAGATCCGCACCTCGGTAGAGCATACTCCGCAAGATCTCGGTAGTCATGATCAGGCAGCTGGCCTCCGGGTTGATTTGGACATCGCCGGTAAGAATTCCAACGTCATCGAACTCAGTTCTGAAATCTCTGAACTTTTGATTGCTCAGAGCTTTGATAGGAGATGTGTAAATCGCCTTGGTCATATGTTTCGAGGCCAGAGCGATAGCGTATTCTGCAACGACAGTTTTACCGGCTGAGGTATGAGCCGCGACAAAGACTGAATCGCCATTCTCGAGGTGATACACTGCCTCCTTCTGGAAGGTATCCAGTTCGAACGGCCATTCCCGAGCCATGTCAGGCACGAGTTCATGGAAGTTAGAGATGTGTTTATTGACGTCGACGACGTGAGCCCATTCTTTGCCACCCTGCCTTTGCTTGACACCGCCGAGTAACGGCGCTCGGGGCTCCAAGGCTGGGAACTCGACAGGGAGCAGAGAATCGATATCCTCCTCGCCACTCAATTCATCATCCTCGCCAATCTTCACCCCACCTTCAACGTCCGAGATGGCGTCTTCATCTCGCTCCACATGGAGATCACTTTCTTCTTGCTGGAGGGCATGCTCAACTTCCTCGTCACCTTCCGCTGTTTCCTTGGTCTTGGTCGCTTCGAATTGCAACCCACGGGAAAAGCCAGGGGCTATCTCCAAGAGGCCACCCTCAGCCCCAAAATTGATAATGCGGTCGAGACCGGACTGTTTGCCACCAGTTCTTGAGCGTTCCGCAGCCTGTGCTTCAGATTCCATTTCAGCAATAGCCTCAACACCGTCGAGTCCGCCCGGCGCAAATGGGAAAAACCCTGCCGCGCCTCTCACGAAGTCAGCACGACCTGCGGGCCTGCGCAGTAGAGACGTCGAGTTTTTGGCGTTGGCCGCTGCAGCGGGGACCGTGACTTCGTGGTAACCAGTGACTCGGCCCTCCAGACCTTCCCGGGTAAAACGAACAATAGTCCGCGTTTGAGTGGGAGCAATCTCATAGAGGTCGGTGTAGTCAACCGGGACATCCCATCGCCTGCGAGGATCGTTAGTAATAATACAAGCCAGGCGTAGGTTGTCAACACAAACTTTTGAAGGCGGTTGAGCCATTCTGGGCTGAATCGTGGTGAGGGCGTCAAAAACTCTCTCTCCAATTCAGCTTTGAGATCTGAGGCACTCTGTCGTAGCCGCTGTCGAGGACCACGGTGTCTGTAAGTTCCCTTTTCCTCTTCAGCAAGTTGAGCATCGAAGGCGGACCCGCTTAAATTCGCGGAGTTGAGGTTCAGATCGGCCAAGATGGAGGCCACCGTTTCCGCCATTGGCAGGACAGTGCAGAGAGATGTCAGGACTATAGAATCTGCCCCGGTCTCCCTGGGATTCAGTGCGACGTTTGCTTGACTTGAGGGATGTTCAATCTGGAGACCCGGAATAGTTGGGACGACCCTCCACTCCAGATTCAGTCACGTGGCCTGTTAGTGAATACTTTGACAACAGTCTATCTTGGGAGTAGAAATGATTAACACAG